ACTGGATTAATGAGATAAGGGAAAAGACATAGTCATGTGATAGTTGGTGTTTCAAGGAGTGAGAGTCAAGGATTGCAGTAGCGCTTCGTCTCAATTTGACTAGATTGAATTTTCATTTCTGGGGAATAGGTAGAGTTGAATGTTACCGAAGTCAGTAAGACTCGACCGAACGTGCGCTCCGGATCAGGTGTTCGTGTCTCGGGGGTGATGTGCCGACTTGCTTGCGCTCACGACAGAGCTTCCTCGGCTAGAAAGAGTCCTGCGGGTACCATGTGGCCAGTTCATCAACCGGTAGGCATTTCTCGGGGTGGTATTCTCCATCATGTAGGTGACGTTGTTTTCGTCGACAGCCTGGATTTGGACTCCGGAGGTTGCAACGCTGGGGAGCTGGATTATCTCCTCCTCACTGTCTTCTGCAGAGAAGCTGTTCCGGCCGTCACTCGACGGCGAAGACGTCTGTGCACGCATGTAACAGACTGAAGGGGTCGGGTTGGATCTATCCGAGAAGCTGCATGAACCGAGGGTGCCGGTCGATTTAGTTCGTCCGAAGCCGCGAATTGCTTCCGGAGACTTCCTCCACTTAGAATTGGGAGGAGACTTCTGTGACCGGAGGAGGATATCCATGTACGTCACTTGCTCTTGTTCTTCAGGTTGGTCGTTATCCGCAAGTGTTCTGTCTTGCGGCACGTCGAGGAACCCCGGAGATGGAGGCGGCGCATCTGTGTGCCTTCGTCGCCTGGATGATGGGGAGCCTCGACGGAAGGCCATCGCAGGTGTGGTAGTCGATATACTCTTGCGTTCGGAGCCTCTTTTATGCTTTTTGAAAGAGCTGCGCCTGATCAGTTTGGAAAATTGCATTTCTTTTGTGGAGAAACTCCTGGTCGGCCCTCGAGTTGCCGAGATTTCGTCTCGATCAAAAGAATCCTGAGATGGGGACGGTGTAAAGAGAGGACCTGCCTCAAGCACGGGGACAGGGACACGTCGAAAAGCTTCATGAGAGTTAATCTCTCGAACTATCGCGTCCTGTAGAGTCTCAAAGGTGGGATGGGGCGAGACAGCTACTGCGGAGGAATTCAAAGCGTGCTTGAACATGCCCACTACCTCCGCCTTCTGATTTGAGGGGGGCAGAGGAAACATCAACGTGGGGCTTCGGAGTGGTAAGGGGCTGTTCATGACTTCGGCAATGCTAGGATTCTGTTTGATGTCATAGTTGCTAGGGGTTGGTGGCTGGATCGCACAGTGCGAGATCCTTGACTTAGGTTTTCCTCGAGCCGCTAACTCCGTGTTGATATAAAGGTCCCGGACGTTTTTCTTGGAGTTGGATCTGGGTGATGTAGATGAGCCATTACTGCGGATCGACGGCGAGCTTCTCGTCACTTCTGAAGTGCCCTTCCCTCCCGAAGGACCCATCTTTCGGCCTTGAGTCATTGGCACAGGTAACGTTGGACTGTCCGGTAGCGGTGAGTTGCTCCATTGGTCGCCTTGCTTGTGGGCTGGAGGGACGTCCAAGTAGCCTCCAGCATCAGATGCAGGTTGTTCTCCCGACGCGTTTGTACATTCAGCCATTATATTCGGCGTTGACTTGTGAGCCCGTAAAGAACGAGGTTGAGACGAGGAGCTCGAACCTGGCCGTGAGCTCGATGGTGTGATTTTGCCCCCATTGGCCCGTGGGGGAGACTGCCTGCCGATTTCGCGCTGAGGTACCTCAGCACTTGATGTTGATGCAGGCTGCGATCGAGAGCTAGCGCTTCGGGATATTGTGCGTTTGTTCGTTCGATTCTTTGCAATGTTCCTGTCTGCCACATCTTCTTGATAAAGAGCCGAGATGATACGGGAATATACCTTCTTCGTCCGCGGCTGTCCCTGAAGAAATCGAACCATGTTGCGCTCAGCAATATCTTCATTGAAAGGCGTAGTGGGCGACAATGCATTAGCTATCTGCACCTGATATCTATGCGACGAGAACAAGGCCTCCAGCAGATCGACATGTCGCGGATTGCGCTGCGTGCAAGTCTGCGTGCAACGACTTGAAGCACGAGAGGATGGAGCATGGGAGCGAGAAGATAAAGGTCGTGCCTGCATTTGATGGTGCAATTCTTCGAACTCTTTCTCAATGCTTTGAAAATGTTCGTCGGCGTCCCGCTGCCGTGAAGTATTTAAGCTCATGGACCTCTGCAGTGGATTGGCAGCTTGAATTGGTGGGCCCCCGGTTTCATCTGAATCAGCCGTACCTGCTGATGAACTTTTTTCGGCCTGGAAAAGTCTCTTCATTATAGCCATGATGAACGATAGCCAGAGAAATTTGGTTGACAGAAGTATCACAAGCGAGGGAGTTCCTGTATAAAACGGATTGTCTTTGATACCGCAGAAGCTCAGATGCACGGAGCACTTTGCATTCGAAAAGATAACAAAAGGAATACTGATCCAGGTAAAATTGACAAAGGAGTGGAATCGGAAGAGCGATTAGACTGTCTCAAAGATCGTATCATTAGACATGATTACTTCAATGCTTTTTAAATCAGGCGTTATTGAATTCTGGGTTATCCCAGACAAGTAGCCAGCATATTTCGTCTTGACGAGTTGAGAAAGAGAAAGGGAGAGACCCCCAGAGGATTGAGATATTCGGATCCTGCAAAGGAGAGATAATCCGCCAGGCAACTGAAAATAATTTAATAATTTCCAATGCTGTCGAGTTCGCAGATCCGACAGTCGTTCCTGGATCAGGGGGAAGTAGTGGCTCAGTTCCGGATATCCACTATGAGAACCGAAGCTAGCAGGCACACACAGACAGAACTCTGGGTCTCTTTCAGGAAGGGTTAGATTAGTGTACCGCTTGAGTTCGTACCAGGACCAGTGAAATTTTGCCTTGGCCGCGTCTTGTGGTGGCTATGGCATACTGACAAAGTCACAATTCACAAGGAGAACTTTTTAAGACGGTTCTCTAGAACATGCAGTCTGCAGCAGTCTTGGCTTTAATGTTCTTACACAGTGCATATCCAGAATATGCATGACCTAGACCCTTACCATTTTCAAGTCAAAGCTCAAAGCCAGGCGCCCTCCCCCCACCCCTCACTCAAGAGCAATGGCTGCAATGCTGCAATGCTGCAGGCCTGCATTGTTAGCATGCCAGGATCTCAGTCGAACGGATTTGAAACCCTAGAAACGACAGCCACAGGTAGCATAGCAATTAGAATCAAGACAGCAGTAACCAGCATGGATGAACGGGCGCATCAAAGGTGCTCAGTGCTCAGTCACATAGCCACCGATTGTGAAGTTTATGGAATGGAGTTAAGCTGTTGACTAACGGAATAGAGACGCAGATACCAGTCAAAAAGGCAGAAAAATGGGTCTCGATGGATCCCGCGAGCGCCCAGGCGCGTTGAGCAAGACCAGTTATTGGTGGGCGCCGTGGGATCGTCCAGTAGGCCAGGAACGGTCTCAATCACCCGAAGGAACCAGCGAATTGAGCCCATAGCCTTGGATCAAGGGATTGTGGATTTTGGACTTTGGAGTTTGGAGTGCATCGGGATTTCTCGCGCAATGTTCAGTCCATGGCGCTCTGGCAGGTTTCACTTCTCTTGCGACCTGTCTGACAGCAGAGACGTTAGCTATCAAAACTCTCTCCCTCCTGTTCTTCTGGTTCCCAATACCCTTGGCAATATCTCAAACGGCTTAACATCGTACCTGCAGGCCATAATCCACGATCCGCGGAGAACCCAATCATATAGATAATCTAGGTGTTCATGGCCATGGAGTGATTAGGTTGAGAGAATTCGATCAAACTTCGAGATGTGAAACACCGATGGTGGATAGCCAAATCTTGATGCTGTCGATGCTGTCTGAACCTCGAAGGTCCAACGAAGGGAAAGCCTCGATCGGGGAACATCCACGGAGAGTCACGAGTCCGTTCCCGCCGGTATATTGGATGCACCTATTGACCATCTCTGCGCTGTCATCGGTAATTACCTGTCGCCTGTGCCGCTCTTGCGTGGTAGTGGGACCATGACATGGGCTCGAAGTATCCTACCAAAAGTCCAATCTTCCCCTGACTTCCCAGAGACGCGGCGGAAAACACGCAAAGAGTGGAAGCCACAGTGGAGCTGATAGGATCAGGTTTCTATTTTCTTTTCCATTATTGTCTCTTGGTGCCATCGATCATCGAAGCGTCAAGAATGAGTCAAAAAGCGAAAAGCATCCGGCCGTGCTTATGGACAGGACCAGAACTCTTGGTTGTCAGGTCTATTTGCGAACTACACCAACTCAGGAGCTAGCAATATCGGGAATCTGGGCCAACGATCCTAATCTTAAGGAAATTAATCTCAAAGCCATCACCACCACGGATTACCGGCTAAACCTTGCCCATATGTTTCTATATCTGGCAGTACTTTGTGATTACAGTATTCCTCCCTGGCAAATGCGTTATCACAGTTGTGGACTGCCTGATCTACAGAGTACTTGAATTACTTCGTGTGTCCGCGGTAAAGCGAAACGGCGCCACATGTGAATGCCGATACTGCGGACAAAGAAGCGTATAGAGAGATGAGATGACAGGAGTACTTTTGTGCTCTAAGGTTCTGTTTCTGTATTATTAGCGTTCTATGGAAGGGAGCAACGAGTCTGGATAATGACAAGGCCCTAGGGAGGTACACTGAATACAGATTGTATGCCTTGGCATTCTGGCACGCCAATAGGTTCTCACCGCCTACATTCTGCAGTCATGCAGGCTCACGTGCTCCATGAAACCCTTAACTTGTAGTTTAAACTGACCTAGAGCTCCTATCTACTATCCTCCAGGTTCAACACACCTCTTCCTGTGTTCATGTAACTGCCAGTAACAGACACAAATCCATCCAACCAGGCAATGCACCAAAAGATGCTCCCTGTTACTGAACCAAACTAACTCCCTTTCATCGCTGCTGCAAAGAAATATGCTCGTCCCAAAGGTGCCATGGCCACAAGAGCTCGTGGAGGAAGAATGATCGTCCAACGATGGAACCCATCTACTTCTCGGCAGTAGCCTCAGAAACACCCTTGTTGGCGTCTTCGTTGTCGGTCTGATCGTCTCTATTGCGCTTAGAGGCGCGTCTCTTCTTAGCAGGGGAGCGATCTCAGATTCAGCGGTGTTGACGTTCTTGGAACGACGGGGCTTGAAAACACCCATCTTGGGCATAGCCTTGCCAGGAGCTTTTTCGGCTTCAGCCTTGACTTCAGCGTTGCCGTTACCATTGCCAGACTTTGCGGCGATGTTGTCGGCGCTTTCAGTCTCGTTTTCCTTCAGAGCGTCTTCGATCTTTCCCTTGAGACGGATCCATCTCATGCTAGCGGCCTTCTTGTTCAAGTTGGTGGCCTTGCAGACGGGGTCCCAATTGATCTACGGGGAACGAGTATGGTCAGCTCTCTCCTGGTCGTCTTGAGGAAAGCATCGTGAACAATAAACGGAGGAACATCAAGCGGTTCCTCTGTTGCTACTCGTCTATGCTCGTTTCACTATTCTCAAGAGAGGACTTACGGTCTTGTCGTTCACTCCGTTAAGGATGTGATACATGAAGATGTGCTGCTCGTCAACGGTTGACTTGGGCATCGCGACGTTTTGAGTCGGACGTGATGGAGAGAGAAAGATGTAACGAGAATGCTTTGATCAATTTGGAGAGCAAAATGAGGATGATTGAAAGTTGGTGAGGGAGAGAGTGGTCAGACGAGAGGTTGGTGTTTATTTCGGAATGAGTCGAGCTCACCTCACAGGCAGGCAGAACATCTGCTCTAGTGGTTTAGTCCCAAACCGCCTTACGCGGTGTTTGATTCACTGGTAGTATACACAGTGAGAGCCCACTCAATTCATGATTCAACTGAATGCTAAGGATTCTACCGAGGGAGCAATGACTGATGGTCTATCACATTTAATGGTAATATGACAATTGAAAAGGATCCTACAAGACGTCGGTATTACTTCTTCGTTCATTAAACGAGGCCTCAAACTGTAGCAAGGCCGGCGAACCGTTCAGCAGATTCCCTCACTGCGTCCGCCAGAACCGTATGCGCTCCCCGAGCAGCGTCCACCGCCCCATCTATTAAAGCATCATGCCCCGAGCGCTTGTCATCGGGCCTTAATAGCACCTTCGAACTATCCCCTTTAAGCCATATTTCTGTAATCTCGTCCCGAGAAGGCATATATGCGACGACACATGCTGACAGGATAGACCGATGTTCAGCAGGGTCCGTATCCAGCATAAGCTTCGGCGCTGACCTCTCTCCCTCCGCCGACTCATCAGAAACAAGAGCAGCCACGCCGCCAGCGACGAGATCCAAACAGTCAATCCGCGCATCCGCAATCGCCGCAGAGGCAGCTGTGATGCATCCAGCCAGAACATTCATCATCCCCCACGGAGCATCATGAGAGTCTGGCGCATCCCCCCACCACCGATCATCTTCTGCCTCTAAGATCGTAATCGTGATATCCAATCCACTCTTCGGCCACCGTTCAGCAACAATAACACCCCGCAGCGCGGTCTCCAAATGCACACCCAGGTCCCGTTCGCTAGTGTCTCGGATGTGCCCTTTCCTCCGGCGGGCAGCGAACGGCGCATATTTGACATGAGTGGTGAGAACAAGGTTAGGCGAGAATGTAGCAGAGCGGGGAAGCGGTTTCGGTCCGTGAACAGTGCATGCAAGCTTCAGAGCTGAAGAAGGAGGGATGAGAGATTGGGGAGAAGAGCGTGCAGCGGCGAGGGAGGCTGAGGGTTCGAATTCGAGGTATGAGGAGCCTGATGCGGAAGGGATCAGGCCAGTCTTGAGGACTAATTCGCAGACATGTTAGCTTTTGCGCGGGCGATGTATCGAACTGATATCTCACATATTTTGCGCAGTTCATTCGGCTGCCTTTGCCGTTGTGGCCTGCCAGATGTAGTATCAGTCGTAGATTTGAGCGACGATGCAAAGACCGCAGGCCTTGTGCCACTGGGCGGCCCATTGATTCTTCGTCGGTCAGTCATAGCAGGTATAACTTGGAATGAGAAGAAGCTTCGAATCAAAAGACAAAAGGCAATGACAATTGATAACACAAGGAATTGTCAATAGAAATCCCGACAAGCAGCCTTCCAGCGACTTTCCCAGTCCAGAAACGGAAATCTGCGATTTCAGAAGATGTTTGTACTGTTTGTCTTCGTCCGCTGGTGGATCACACTTTTTTTCCCACTCAAGTATTTCTTCTCTGATTTTCTCCTCTTCCTCTTCCTTCATCTTCTCTATGCTAGACTGCCAACCAACTAAACCTCCGATGATGAGGCTTGGGGTGTTGATAAATGTGCATCAGCTTCTAAACCGCCATCTACTCAAAACGACCTGATACTTACTTACTCACTGTAAGTCTGCCTAACCCACCTCCCTGTCAATCCGCACCCTTCATGACGAAATTGATTTCCAAAATCTTAAGTTCCGGCGACAAATAAATGGGCTTGAACAAACATGCATCACCATCTGATCAAAATTCTAATCCACATTTGCTGTCAGCTCGTTTTGCTCCATGCAGTCTCGCTGACCAATTCATCAGACAGGAAATTTCCATCTAATCTCGGATAACTCGCAACTCTCTGTAGGCCCTGTTAGGTATGTTTTTGCTCACTTCCTCGACAATTACACTGCCCATATTCTTTTTCGTGATGAGAGACATTTTTTTCAGTTCTGCTTCTGTAAAAACCTTGAAGAAGACAAAATACCTTACCAAAAACTCCTGATCATTTTGAAAGATTCTACTTGTCCTTTCGATCCACTGATGTGCTTGATCATTCGGATTGCTGACAATCTTGAAGAAATAGAAATTGTACAACTGCAACCCAAGCACAACTTCCTGGCATTACTAGTAATAGGTACAGTTCCTTCTCCCTAATCTCATATCACTGCCACACACAATCCTTTTATGATGACAACTAGTCAATCCATTCAATGATCTCCCTTGGAGAACCGCCCCTCGAGCCCGCAGCTACCGGCAGCGCAGCACACTTGGAGCACTCCGATCCGCCTGTTCAACTCCCTTATACCGGACTTTCTCTTCGCTGTATTTCTTCTGAAATCCGCTGGATTGAAGGGATGATCGGTTGTGGAGCACTGAACAGCGGGCTCAATCGTTATGCTCCGTGCTGAGACCTGTCGGTGTGCTTGCTACGCTTGACTTGTGCCAACGCCTTTCACCCGACTCATCGTTCGTTTTGGATGATCTGACGTGGGGAAGAACTTGGCAGGGGATGGGATGAATTTACCGGCTTGGCTGATCAACACCTTGCTGCGAACTCTTTACGAGTTTGCCTTTTACTTGAGGTGTCCCGTTGTGCTGCTGCGCTGTCGAACTCCATGTCAGCTTAAGATGCCTGCTGACCGCTCTGAAGTTGTAGGCTTTTCGTCAAATCATACTCGGTAGTTAGAATAGACATGCTTATTAAATCGAAACCTATCCCATACAGGGAAATTCCGTCCACCAAAACTGTTAAACACGAATTCTTCATTCTCTATGGTATATATACATAGTGCCACTGAATATGTACCATGAAATTATAACCCCCTTCAGCTTCTGCTGTCTCAACCACTCGAAGTAATGTATGCTTTGCACCGTCAATGTACTCTCGTCATCGTGGCCTGTATAATCTTCTTTTCTTTTTTTTAATTTCCTTCAAGGTTCATCTTTAGCGTGCAGAATGTGATAGAGAATCCCAGCACTGTGAGCAGAATCAAAAGATATGACATTGGCAATAAGCCTGTCTATCAGAGCTTCCATCGCTCATCCAAATATAAGCTACAAAAGGCGAACAGGAAATGGTTTGCGGATTGTCAAGCTAGGAGACATGCCATGTCTCCACTTTTTCTTTCTCGAGTTTTCTCTCCGTTCCACATAGATTCTCATTTTCAGGTTACTCTTTCCCTTCAGTTGGTGTCGTTGCACCATTCCTGGTCAGACTATAGGGAGCCTGCACGATGTAATATTCGAAGTCAGCTTCAGCGGCCTGAAAAATAGGCGGTGAGGTATGGATGAAGCAGAGGACTACATACCAGGACCCTTTTTGCATTGCATATCCTCCGAGCGAGATTGTGGACATTGCCGTCGGCTTTGACAACCTCAGGAGCGAATTCGATACCAAACCTTCGCGAAAGCATTAGTACGACCTCCCCCAGAACTCACGCAGGAAAATCAACTCACATTTGATGAACCGCGAACACGACTCTCTTGGCATACTTTCCATCACGTTCGACGAGACTGCCAAAAGGCTCATCCACGGTTTCCGGCGCGATCTCGGGATCTCGATCAAAGCAGTTACGCACAACGGGAAACAGGCTTATCTCGACTGAAGTAGGGTCCATCAGTGGGATCTCATCCTCATCAAACCGACTGATACGAATCTCAAATGGTCTTGAGATAGCCATAACATTGTGTTTGCCATTGTGATGGTACCGGAACTCGAAGACACCCTGAGTCCAAAACAGCTTATCACCAGAGAAGATAACTTCACCGGAAGCAAGATCGCGGTTTTCGTTGTCTTTGCGTTGTGCGGCTGGTACGACAATATCGCTGCTCACGATTCCCTTCTCGCAAGTCAAATTGTCGTACGAGCCCTCGTTGACCGCAATCCATCTCCCTTGAGATGAGACGCGCGTGACTTCCCGAGAAGTGTTGTCGGTGACTCGATATAGACCAATCCAATCTTTCTTGCTGTGATTGAGCGGAGCAGTCCACTTAACCTTGATGGGTGAACCATACTCCAAGACCAAGTTCTTCAGGTCGCCGCGTCTGTCAAGGGGCATACGAGCATCGGCACCCTCCCTACCGCTTTGATCGTTGTCATTGGGAGACAATGAATCAGTGCCTTCGACCTCCAAGGAGTAGTCACGTAAGTCATAGCCAGCCAGGTCTTCATCGATGCGAGAGATAGTCACACGAGCGGGATACTTTTGGAACAGAGCTGATGTGTCTTTGACAAACGTGTTGACACCCGCAGCGAGCTTCGGACGAGCAGTGTCAATGAGTTCTTCGATGAACTCGAAAGACTCATCAAACATCTTGTCGACACTTCCATGCAGCTGCTGTAGAGATGGAGGCAAGGATCGCTTCAAACTCTTTGTCAGGCCAGCATCTCGTCGCAGGCTTTGGCCATAAAGCTTCTGCATGTGAGGACGCTCGACAAATTGGATGAATCCCAGGCTCAAAATATGGCTCATCAGGGCAAGGAAAGTGACAGTACCACTGCTGGTGATAAGGACAGCACCCCAAACCCCTGCCAAACCCAGAACACGCTCAGGGTTGTTCAGGAAACGGTAAATGCCGTCATACGTCAATTTGGGCGATTCATCAAAGAAGAAATCTCCGTAGAACCAACCAAACTCTCCAAGAGATTCGTAGATGCTGACCGATGTCCAGATTTGCAAGGCAATGAGCCCTGCACCCAAGACATGTCTGAGCAAGACGAGGCCATAGCCCCAATCCGCTGGAAGACTGTACATTTTCCAAACCGCGGCAATGAAGCTCGCGTAACACATGACCATGCTGATATGATAAGTGCCTTTCCATTGACTCCAGGCCTCCTGAGGGCTTTCGCCATATTTTACAAAGTGTCGAGTCCAGGCCTTACAGTTCGACTGACGGTTGAGCACCAAGCCGATACCGACAGAATACCAGATTCTCCAGACTGCCGCGTTGGCCACAAAGAGGAACTGGAACCAAGGAGTTGAAGGCGTCAAGACCGTGAGGGCGAATACGAGAAATTGAATCAGTATGGAAGAAGTATCTATCGTCCGATACAAATCCAGGTTCCGAAGGCCCAAGAGGTTGTGGACTGATGGAGGTGGACCGCTTGAATAACTTGGCGCATGGGGCACTTGTTCATCAACGGAAGCTGGCGCGCTGGGCGAATCCGGTCTCTGAGGGGTGATAGATACATTTTCCTGATCGATAGTTCGCTTTCGGGGTGGTGGCGGGTTATATGTCTTCTCGATGTGCGGATTCTCGACGAAGACCAGGAAAGCGAATTGTGCTGCATGGGCGAGAATAGAGATGAACAGGACCTTATAGCTCGCCGCCATTAGCGAGATACCGTAGTATCCAGCATAACCGACCGAGTACATCGGATGAGGTGCCATTTCGAAGACACCGTCAAAGGTCAACTCCTGGTCGATAAGAAAGAAAAAGTCTCCCCAGTACCAGGCGTAGTCTTTTACCACTCGATGCGCGTCTAATTTTACCCACAGGTTGAAGAGCACTAAGACGACGCCTGCGGACCACCGCAAGACAGTCATCAGAGGACCCTCATCAAGGGGATGTTGGCTACAGGCTATCGCAAAGAGGCAATAGGAGGTGAAGTCGCACATCAAGATCAGATCGACAAGTCGTCTGAAGACGAGCCAGGTGTTGTACTCAATTGGAGCATCTTCGAACGAATAGTCAGCTGGGATCTTGGTCTCCAATTCACGTTTAATCAACTTGTATAGGTTAGCATGAGGATTTTGGCCCTTGGCCGGATTCACGAAGATCTTGGTCTTCTCCGCCCAACGGACGAGCGTTCTGTGGTTCGACTGGTGATGAAGCAGCCATCCGATCCCAGCATTGTAGGCACCGCGCCAAAAGAGGTAGATGAAGGCAAAAACGGGCACTTTGGCACCGGCGGGAAGTCGCCATAAGAGAAGAATATGAGCAGCGAGAATGGCTAGAACGATGACGTCTGACAGGTTCTTTGGTTCCGATGGTGATAGTAGTTGAGAGACCATGTCGTGCGTTTGAGGCACCGTAAACACTATTGAATAGGTTAGTTAGCGGAGAGTAACCCGTAGCACCCCAAGTTGAGAGCCGAAAAGGCGTGTCATCTACTCTTAATTTTCGGGCGAGACTATCTCATCACGTACCTTTACCATCAGGAGTCCGGCCGTATGTCTTCTTTCCTTTACCGGCTTTGTCCTTGACCTCACCTTCACCCGTGGCTGTTAAAGCCTCGAGACCGGGGGCCGAGCTGGACTGAGAGGCCACAATCCTCTCGCGAAGTCCATCATCTGCCTGATGAGCGCCTGTTGAAAGGCCACGATCCATAATTGCGTGTAGCTCTCTTTCCTGCGTGGGAAGCGGCAGCGGAAAATTGTTATTGTGGACAGATGGATCGAAAAAGTCACAGGTGCAGAAGAAGCATGTGACAGGGAAGGAAGGGTGGGTAGTGTCGGCCACAACCCATGTGACGTTTTTGTTAGTGTTTCAAAATTGGATAGATTTCGCACCTCAACAACAATGCTCAATGGTCACTGAACAACTGGAGGAAAGAGAGAATACGCAAAATATAAACAAAAGAAAAGATAGAAAATGCTTGTGTTAGTGACAGAGCGGCGGAGCTACCTGCTATTTATCGTTTACCCATACGGGGTATAGCGGGGAGAGAGAGTAACCTCATATGTCTAAGGACGAGACTAAGTAGAGCTGTCGTTGGGGAAAAGGGTTACTTAGCGACCCAGACCCATTGAGTGGGAAAAGCGCCAATCACAAGACGTTGGTACAGTCTCTTAAAGGGAATGAGGAATGGAGCAGAAAGAGAAAGAAGGTCCAACGCTCTTAAGGAACTCAAAACAATTTCTTTCGCAAACATAGTACATCCTAGTAGCCTCGGTGTTGACGAGGGAAAGTCAAGCGAAATTATATCAGATGGGATACGGTTCAGGTCACTCTAAAATAATCTTCAGGCTCGTGGGTTATTCCTTGGATACCGATCCGTCTGAGCGACGACAATTTCCTTACCTTACTACTCGTGCTTCGTCGACTATTCGCTTGCTCTGCACATTGAAAAGCATATTTCTCTTGATGGAAAAGCCATCACAATTGAGCGGTAACGGCGGGTGCATCGAATACTACATTTCACTGGACAGCATTTCCCCTGTCAATCCTGAAATTTCAGCCATTGAAGCAGGTAAGATGCAGGTAGTCTAGATTATCGCCAATCAATAATTTCAGCGATTCTTTCAACGTTGAAAGGGAAGCATATGCAATGCATAAGATATGCATGATGTTGAGGGGACCTGATTGGCACTATGCCTCCTGCGGCACACAGACACGGCCTGCAGAAAGAAGGGAATAGTAACTGATATGCTGATAGTTGTAGTTTTGTAAGAGGACTGGGTCCTGTAGAGATCTGCAGTGTCTCTAGTCAACGACAACCTGCGGATATTTGCAAATCGCGCCTTTAATCGAAATGGGTCAGCCTTCTGGCTGTCCAGTTGGTGGATAATGATTGTGGTAGGCCTGACTTTAGAGTGGCACGGCCAGAGGAGGCATGATAAGGTTCTGACAACCCTCTGCATTATCGATAGGTATCTATTCTCCTTGTTCAAAAGCAGAGGATCGTTACAGTCATACCCCGCTCCTGAAAAGATGGACAGACTGAACTTGCAAGCATCCTGCTGCATACTCTGTAGGCATGAGCAAATCGACTTTATGAAAGTTACATTGATAGTTCAACTCTCCCTACAAAATGCGGCCATAAATTGGAGAATATATAACTGTTCCTCTCTGGCTAGTCCACTAGGGAACACTCAACTGACTACCGCGACACATATAGATCTTGATCCTTGTCTATATAGTTATAGTATGCCACTCACTGCTCATCAGCATAGTAATGCCAGCAATAATCACAATGATAGTCCATGACTGTCCATCTACCTAGATATTCAGCATCCTGCAGGATCTATGATTAATCGATCTTATCGCGGGGCGCTCCGACACCGCAGTGGCTGGATCCTGAGAAAACCACCCCGCGCCAATCGCCACCAAGACTTTGTCATCCGATAATGGATTATCAAGCAGGCGATCCGCCACTTTTTCATCAAAGAAAGCTTCCTTCTGTGCAAACCAATTTGACACACCTATCTGTCTTCATATCTCTTAGAAGAAGCTGGTCTTCACAATAATGGCGCCGTCTGTGATGGAGCCGGTGGCAGCGTTCGATGTGCCAACCAAGGTGGCGCCGAACCTCGTTGCTCCGGAACCAGGTATGTCTTTCTAAGCGGCAAAAAGTCATGTTTTCTTTTACCCTTGAAGATGGCTAATTCTTGCAGAGCACTGCCCTGGACCCGAGTCAGAGCAAGCAGGAAAAGGCGATGCCTGCGCTGGTTGTCCCAATCAAGCCATTTGTGCCTCTGCGCCCAAGGGCCCCGATCCCGACATCGCTATCATCACCGAGCGTCTGTCTCAAATCCGACACAAGATCCTTGTACTATCCGGCAAAGGCGGTGTCGGCAAATCCACATTCTCCTCGCTCCTTGCACATGCATTTGCATCGAACCCTGAATCCACCGTCGGCCTCTGTGATACGGACATTTGCGGACCCTCCATCCCCAAGATGATGGGTGTTGAGTCGGAGACAATTCACGTCAGCAACGCAGGCTGGAGTCCGGTGTGGGTGACCGATAATCTGAGTGCAATGAGTATCCAATTCATGCTACCGAACAGAGACGACGCAATCATCTGGAGGGGCCCAAAGAAGAATGGAATTATTAAGCAGTTTCTGAAGGATGTAGACTGGGGCGAGTTGGACTACCTGATTGTCGATACGCCGCCTGGGACTTCGGACGAGCACTTATCGGTGAACTCACTTCTAAAAGAGTCTGGCGTGGACGGAGCGGTGGTTGTTACGACCCCTCAAGAAGTATCGCTTCTCGACGTCAGGAAGGAGATTGATTTTTGCCGCAAGGCTGGCATTCGTATCCTGGGCCTAGTCGAGAACATGCGGGGGTTCGTCTGCCCAGGATGCTCTAATACATCGGAGATCTTCCGTGCTACGACAGGAGGTGGCAAACGACTGGCTAAAAAGATGGGCATTCCATTCCTGGGTTCAGTTCCTCTTGACCCAAGAGTTGGAATGGCTTGCGACTACGGTGAAAGCTTCGTGGACAACTTTCCGGACAGCCCAGCGTCAAAGGCCATCAAGCAGGTTGTACGGTCGGTTGGTGAAATGCTTGGCGAGGATCCAAATAAAGTGCTTCCGCCTGACGATAATGATATGGTGGAGTGATTCATATTTCGGTCGTCCTGCTTTGCTTCTACTGTGCGGTGCATTTGAGCTGGAATAGCGTGCATTGTGAGTTTCTTGACTACGGCGTTTTGGGCAAGCATGATTTGATACCACCATTTCAATATGAGGCATTCGCATGATGAGAGACACTCATTGCTCTTACCAACGAGAAGGCACCGGACATCAGCATTCGTATAAGGCGTGTAGTGTATACTCGTCTCGTTCTACACCTGCTATCTAGGATCCACACCATGTATATCTGATAAGCGACGCTATCGATTGTAGGCACCAACTTCACTCTGCAAATGTATGGCACATTCGTCAGTTGGACTCGAGTTATGATGGGTGTATGTGATCTCTGCAGTGTGCGTTTTTCATGAATGATGCCGTGTGATTGGAAACCGACCAAGGGACAGCGCTTATCTACGTAACAGCTCTCCAGCCGATTGCGCTTGACAGTCGATTGTCCCGCGAATGGATGAATGTAACACAGGTCTTTTTCTAATGGTGATCCATCAACCTTCAGTTCTTCACAGCCCCTTACAAGAAAAAAAAAGCCTACCAGTACGTACGTATTTTGACCGCCTTCTTCGACTCGGTCCACCGTTTCACTATCCCTTGGCGATGGTGGGTGACTGGTTTGACTGGTCAGCACAACCTGCGACTGCCCAGCGCCTAGGCGTTTCACCTTCAGGGCAAGTCTGTTTCGGCAACGCTGAATGGCTCATGATTTGCGCCAGCAACTGTCAAATCCAGCCTGTCGAGTCGTGTTGACTGTGTCAGGCAGATGAGGTTGCTTCACCACCGACTCCATATGCATGGCATGGATTGGCTGCTTTCTCCGTTCAACTCAGGTTTCTTCGCCTGAGTGGGCCGACTTACCAACATGGGAGCTATCCGCGCTCTCGGCAGTTCTTAGCTGAGGCCTGAAGCTCAGTTCAACTTTTAATGCTCCGTCGTGATTAGGGCCTCTGAGGTCTTTATTATGATGGGTTTTGCCCTGAGGCCCTCTTGACAATGAACTAGACCAAGTCATTCACTTCTCCGTCTTTCTCTTCTGCCCGACAGCTCTTTTGGCTGTTTCTCTTTCCCTTCATTTGTACCTTTTCAATATTCTTTTTGTCTTTACAATATTCGCAGGTGCCTAGGTCTGGACTTGGGCATACGGAGTACACGCTCTTTAATTTACTTCCGGCTTGATCTCTGTCTTGTTTGGAGGCTTTCCACCTTCAGCTGTTAGAAGCAGCAAATACGATCATTGATTTGAAGACTGGAAAGTCTCGAAACACAGGCAGTATCGGGCCAATATGCATTCACTACAGTCTTTTCTCTTCCTGCTGCTCCTTGGCTACGGTGTGTTCGCTGCACCAACGTCGCCACGAGCTCAATCTCAGGGCAGGTCCTTCAAGGTTGAGCGGATCAAGCGTGGAAACTCCATTCACGGTCCGACTGCTCTACGCAGAGCCTATCGGAAGTTTGGCATAGTTCCTACGACCTTTGGCGTCGATCTGTCGGACTTTGAGCCTTTCAACACGACATCTATCTCAGGCACCGCTGCCAATCTACTTGTAACCGACGCCCAGGAGCCAGAGCAGACCGGTGCAGTCAGTGCGCAATCTGTCCAGAACGATGCTGCTTTCGTCAGCCCTGTGACGATCGGTGGGCAGAAAATAGTGATGAACTTTGACACCGGCTCAGCAGACTTGTAAGTACATTGATTCGAATCACTCCAGCGACAGAGCTTACTGACTGGCGATTTCACCAGCTGGGTGATGAACACGGAGCTTCCGGCGAGTGCTCAGGTCGGCCACACTGTCTTCGATCCTTCCAAGTCGTCCACTTTTAAGAAGATGGAAGGAGCTACTTTTGAGATCAAATACGGCGATTCGTCTTTTGCTAATGGTGGCGTCGGAACTGATACCGTTGACATTGGTGGCGCAACCGTTACCGGTCAAGCGATTGGTATCCCGACGAGCGTGTCCGATTCCTTCGTGGAAGATACCTACTCGAACGGTCTCGTAGGCCTGGGCTTTTCGTCCCTCAATACAGTCCAGCCTCAGCAGCAGAAGACGTTCTTCGACAATATCGCCGACAGTCTGGACGAGCCAGTCATGACGGCGCATTTGAAGAGCGATGGTGTCGGCGAGTACGAGTTCGGAATCATTGATCAAACCAAGTACCAAGGCGACATGATCAACGTGACCGTGGACTCCTCGGGCGGTTTCTGGCAGTTCCAGTCGGCCCATTACAAGGTCGGAGATGGTTCTATCCAGACCATCCAGAATACTGCTATTGCCATCGCTGATACCGGCACTTCATTGATGCTTCTCGATGACACAGTAGTAAATGCCTACTACGCGCAGGTCAAAGGCGCGCAGTATGCCAGCAGCGCCGGCGGTTACATCTATCCCTGTGGTACTGAACTGCCTAATCTCGCGGTTGCTGTCGGCGCAAAGCACTTGGCGACGGTACCTGGCACGTTCCTGGATTTTGCAGAGGTTGGAATTAACAAAACGACGGGACAAACTGGTAAGACGATCGATCTTCGCGTACGAAAGTTCATGTACTGACATGTCACCTTGTAGTATGTTTCGGTGGTATCCAGTCCAACCAGGGCACTTCGATGCAGATCCTTGGTGACGTCTTCCTCAAGGCTTTTTTCGTCGTCTTTGACCTGCGAGGCCCATCTATTGGACTTGCCTCGCCCAAGTAGTCTGACTGCTTGTTGCCAAAAATGCAACATCTTTTAGATGTTACAGCTGGCTCCATATTCGTTCTGTATATCCTTACAGTTAGACTGTCTCCATAGATCTAAATAATACACCGCAACTTGGTTTCCAATATTGCAAACTGGAATCTGCCGTCTGTCGAAGAGTATGTCATTCGATATTATTGCAGACAGCGTGCATAAATAGTTATGATTATACTTGGATGACTCAGCTGACACTGAGTCATCCAGCCCTAGCTTAACTAAGTTAGTAAACTAGGGGGAAAAGAAAAAAATAAAGGTAAAAAGAGACTAACCGGATGCAGTCGGTCATCGACACCGCGGAAGCCCAGAAATGCTGTAGCAAGACGAAGTCTGACAGTATCTAGCCAAATCCAATTGTAATCAGCTCTTTTATCAAGTCAATTATACAAGGATCCCATCACTCTAGGGATCTGCGTCTTAATCAAGTTGAATTTCCTCAAGGTTTCCGTGACTCTGACGGGGCCGCCAGAACAACAGCCCCGCGGATCAGTCAACCCTCCAGATTATTATTACTACGCCTGAGGCCGACTTCTGCTGCCCCTCTTCTTAACTTCACCACCTCGCCTCTGTCCTCCTTCGCCGTTCGTCGCCCGTTCGCAAACATGGCTATCAACTCTGCTCCCGAGTCTTCTCTCCTCTCCCTCCTCTACCGCTCGTACCCCGCTGCAGTTTCTCCCGACGCCACAGAGCTTGATCTTCTCCATGCCTCGCCCAAAATCTTTCCTCAGACGACTTTCTCCGTTGAGGAGCAGGCTTCGATCAAGCAATGGCTAGACACCATTTCTGGTCTTCAGAATGCCTTGACTAAGGACGACAAGTCCGTGGTTACGGCCATCCTCCGACAGCTGAACACTCACCTCGCCGCGCGCACAACTTTGCTGGGAACCAAGCCGTCCGTTGCTGATATCACCGCTTACGCTCTGCTCGCTCCCGTCGTTGAGAAATGGACCCCCGAAGAACGCACAGGTGAGCAAGGACACCATCATATTGTGCGTCACATCGATTTTGTGCAAAATAGCCGCCTGTTCGCCCTCCAGATCCCCGACGAGGAGAAGATCAGCATCGATGTGAACGACGTGCGGTTTGTTCCCAAGCCCGTGGACCCCAAGGAAGAGAAGGAGCGCAAAAAGAGGGAGAAGGCTGCGGCCCAGAACCCGGATGCTGGCAAACCTCTGGTCGTTGGACAGGGCAAGCCCGAGAAGGCGGCGAATGGCGGCGCGGTCGAGCAGGCCGCTGACTCCGCTGCTGGTGCGCCCCCAAGGTTAACAAGAAGGAGAAGAAGGAAAAGAAGGAGAAGGCGCCCAAGCCTGCTCCTGCGCCCGCTGCTCCCCCTCTCCGTCGCTCATCGACCTTCGCGTTGGTCACATCCTCCGTGCCATCAACCACCCCAATGCGGACTCCCTCTACGTTTCTACCATCGACTGTGGTGATGCTCCCGGCACCGAGAACACGTCGGTGGATGAGGAGACCGGCAAGACCGTGCGCACCGTATGCTCTGGTCTGAACGGCCTCGTTCCCCTGGAGGAGATGCAGAACAGAAAGATTGTTGCCGTCTGCAACTTGAAGCCTGTAACTATGCGTGGTATCAAGTCTACAGCCATGGTTTTGGCAGCATCGCCCCGCGTCGCCGAAGGCGAGGACTCGCACGCTGGACCCGTTGAGCTGGTCACCCCTCCCGCCGGCGCGCCTGCCGGTACCCGCATTGGCTTCGAGGGTTGGTTTGACGGCGAGCCCGAGAAGGTGCTCAACCCCAAGAAGAAGGTCTGGGAGACCTTCCAGCCTGGATTCACCACCACGGACAGCCTGGAGGTTGCGTTCGACATGAGCGCGGTTCCCGCCGTGCAGGGCCAGGAGGGCAAGCCGGCCCTGGGCAAACTGGTTGCTAAGACCGGAGGAGTCTGTACAGTGAAGTCTCTGAAGGGAGCTACTGTTCGGTAGAGAATTTACCGAGGAAAAAGTCCATTCTTCCTTTTGTCGTTCAATCAGTGGAAATGGTTACAAGGAGTGGTCTACGATTTCGTGCAGAGGCAGCAACATAAATAGCATTTACCCTCTTAGCATCAACAACAAGTCCAACGAGAAATGAACGTTTCAGTTTTCAGTTTTTCCCTCTTATTTTCCCTGCCGACTTCATCTGTATCTGCAAACACAGTATTCGAAAGCACCCAAGGCAATAAGGCATCAGTCACCCCGCAGACCCCTCTTACGAGCTTAGCCGACCCCTCACTATCTGCAAAGGACTGTTTGTAGAGTTTACCTTAGTCTCATGTCTAGGGAATAAATCAATCGTCTTATTACTCTTCGCGCGGCTTAGTTCCGCAACTCATTCTGCCGTATAAAAATGCAATTGGGAATCCCAATGAGCCAGTCCCAACAGAACTGATACAACATTAACACGCCTAAGCTAGAACTTCAAGATCTACACTTCACAATGCGAGCTGTCCGGTTCCATGGCCGCGGCGATATCCGCGTCGATGAGATTGATGAGCCCGTCTGCGGCGACGGCCAGGTCAAGGTTGCCAGCATCTCCTATTTGCTCTCCCAGCACGTAGACTAACATGGGTAGATCCGACCTGCCTTTGTAGGGATCTGCGGAAGCGGTATGCTCATCTTCGTTCTTTGGTGGTCTTGATCAGTCTGGCGGCGCTTGCTTACATGGCATATAGATCTACACGAGTACCTCGCAGGTCCCATCACAGTCCCCTCAACACCGCATCCAATCACGGGCGGGAGCGTCCCCGTCACCCTGGGCCATGAATTCAGTGGTGTGATAGAGGAGGTTGGCGCGGGCGTTTCACGACTGAAAGTCGGTGATCGCGTGGCTGTCAGACCGAATCTGTATGATGGGACGTGTGCGAGTTGTTTAGCCGGTTGGCGGAACTGTTGTCAGAATTTGGGTTTTATTGGATATAGCAGTGAGTGAGTTTCTGGGCGAATGAATAGAGATGTGAGGCTGATGTTTGAGCAGGCGATGCAGGGGGTTTGTCAGATCATGTTGTTGTAGATCAGAAGCATGCAATTCTATTGCCGGAGGGTTTCCCTCTTGATCTTGGAGGTGAGTCTATGGCTTTCTACGGATGATACAAGATAGAATCGGGTGATTAATTAACCTTGCGGTGCATATGCAGCCCTCGTCGAACCCCTTACCGTGGCCTGGCATGCAGTTAGCCGTGCCTCCGTCCGGCCCGACGACACCGTCCTCGTGGTAGGGGGAGGACCGATCGGTCTCGCTGTCGTTCAGGTCCTGAAAGCCCGCGGGATCAAGTCCATTATTGTCTCCGAAGTCTCCTCACAGCGTAAGCAATTTGCGAGACAACTAGGTGCAAGTGAGGTCTTTGATCCGCGGACGGATGGTATTGTGGCTTCGGTCCGCGCAATGACAGCAGAGGAAGGGGCAGCCGTCGCCTTTGAATGCTCCGGTGTGCAGGTGGGCTTGGACACGGCTGTTCAGGCTATTCGAGCGAGGGGAACGGTGACCATAGTGTCACTGTGGGAGGAGAAGCCGAAGATAGATGCGCTTGAGATCGTTTTGCACGAGAAACATGTCATTGGCGCTGTGATCTGTGACGATGGTGACTTCGAAGCTGTCATTGATGCGATCTCATCAGGCATGTTCCTTCTGCTATATGGGGTCCGATTGTCACTGGTTATGCTGACGAGCATATAGGAAAGCTCTCCCCTCGAGCGATGATCACGAGCAAGATCCTGATGGAGGACGTGGTGGCCAAGGGGTTCAAGGCTTTGGTTGACGAGCGGGACAAGCACCTCAAGATCCTAGTTGAGGTGTCTACATGACAAAAAGCCATCAAACAGCAAACAACCAATAGTCTAGACACCAGAAGCTCGCGATGAGCTGAATAAGAATCAGCCCATACTGCACAAAAAAGCAATTATCTTCCACATAGGTATGCATGGATCTAAGGGCGCAGCGCCATTTGGCCATAGCTTTCGGTAAAGCCCGATAGAACATCAGGCAACTTCAGGCTGACTGGCAGGCGCAAGTGATATAGCTCAGGTTCCGAATATTGGTATAGACACGTGTTGAATACGATTCGGTGCTGTTTGCAGTCAGACCAGTCCGGTAGTCAGCATGCATCTTCCCGACGATTTAGGTATTCCGAGGCGAGTAAACAATGCCTTAATCCATTCTTCATAGGTTATCTGAATCTTCGATTTATCGTGATCCTGCAGTTTGTAGTCCAACCTTCGATAGAATATCCCATGAGTCGGCACAGTATCCTAGAAGTTAGAATTCACTACTCACCCATGTAGTTCTAGTGTTCTACAGTTCTAGCTCTTGGATCCGACTAGGATAATCAGCCTAGACCGTTAATTCATCCCAGGCAAATCGGTAATAACCCAGAGTGATAATGTGCGTATTTGGTTGGCTGCATACGAACAGGCGTTCGACCGCGCCATTTGATGAGCAGCCAAGACCGCCACCGTCAATGACACTGTGCTAATTTTTGGACTAGTCAATTGGTGACTTGGTTGAAAAATGGTTCCTTATTTGTCTCATGCGTTGTTCATCGGCAGTTTTCACTACTTGTTAGTAGGACAGTTGCAGTTTAAGAGGTGGGACCGTGGAAGTATCATCTAGTGCATGAGTCGGACAGTTGGACAGTGCTCAGTACAGTTGGAGTTGTCATTCTGTCTGACAAGCGCCTGTCTCTATAGATCATCACTATTGGATATTATACTGCTTGAATTAGACGATGTCTCACCTCCACTGCAACTGATGAATGGACAAGTGTTGGGCTATGGAGAAGAAACCCTCCGCTTTCCAGAAACAGACAGAATCGCGCTATTTTGTACTCTGATACGACCATTTAGCACAGTTCTATAGATACTTTTATCCCCTCGCTCTCTTCCACAATGATGGAGGCCAAAACTCGGACTTTGAAGTCAAATCTATCACCGGTATCTCTTCTCGCTGCCAAAAGACTCAAACCCCCATCGTCTAGACATTGTTATGCTTCGCCAAGTGGCCCTCCCCCCACTCAGTCCGCTGGCTCCTTTGACTAGTCTATAACCCAGTCCAGCAAGTTCCGATTTAGCTCGCAGCGTCTGGGTTCTGTTCAGATCATCGCTGTCCTTATTTACAGTTCTCGCATCAATCTCAGCTTCGGTTTCTCCTATCCTTTTCTTTTTTTTCTATCCCTCGCCTTAAATCATTCTCATATAGTTGTACATTCGTTTCTCGGCACCGACTGCAGCTTTAATTTCGTTAGACATCCTCCCCAAATCGGCCCCATTTTAGCAAAAGTTTATGAAACTCTTTTCATCTGAGGATCGTCTGATATACATAACTCTGAAACAGGGACGCAAGTTCTATCGTTATATCCACCTGTGGTTGCAGCGCCATACTTTCTTCTGTTCCAAACGCAAACTATGTCACGTTGATTTGACGATTTATACACAAGTGTCTACACGTCTACCCCTTAACTACGCTGGCGCTTTGAACCGACAGCTATATACCTAATCTCCCATCTTCATCATGTCGAAGCCACTTCAAGGAACTGCAATCATTACCGGGGGCAATGGGACCCTCGGCTCAGAGATAGCTATCGCTATCGCCAAAACGCAGCCTTTCGTGCACCTGCTGCTTCTTGCGCGCGATATCAGAACCGACAGCGTGAAGGATCTGCTACAGAAGATCCGCCTCGTCGGGCCTAGATCTGTCGAAGTGGCCAAAGTCAACCTGGCCAGTTTCAACTCGGTCGTCAGCTTCTGTCAGAATACTGTGGAGAGGGTCCGAACTAAAGAGATCCCGCCGATAATGCTCCTGGTCAACTCTGCTGCCATGGCATCTTATGTCAGCGATCCAGTCACACCGGACGGATATGATCCGGTCTACCAGGTTAATTGCATTGCACCGTTCCTGTTGACGGTCAGCCTACTTGAAGCTTTCCGAGCCGGTAATGGCACGCCGGACGGGGGTGCCAGAGTCATCAATATTGGATGCTCTGCTATATCCAATGGCTCGTTGAACTATTTCGACGACAGCCCAGACAATGCACCGAAGCCTCCCGGCACTCCTCTGAGTGCAAAGGAAGGGAATGCTCGGTTTGGCAGCAGTAAGCTAATCATGAGTGCCGCCATGTATGCATTACGGCGGAGTCTGGTCCTGGTAAGTTTATTGCTAGCTTTGCGCGTGTGAGTAGCCGAACGATACTGACAATGCAATACGTAGACTGGCAACATGTCACTCAACATATACACTCTGGACCCAGGAGGATTGGAAGGGAATAGCCATCTGACGACAGATGCCCCCTTATCGGTCCGAATGGCACATTCAACCCGGTCTAGCCTCGGGCCATTCCTGAGAGTGTTCTCCAAGAGCGCTATCAACAAGGCCAGTGTTCCAGCCAAGGTCGTTGCGAAAGTCGCATTCCAGAGAGAAACAGTGGAGCTCTGGGGCAGGGAGCGCTATTATATCTTGGACAGCGACTACGAGGCCGGATCCGTCATTTTGGCACTGCGAGACCCGCCCCTAATGGATTCACTGCTAAAGAAAATGTTGCGACAGGTCGAAATTGGTGTCAAGGGAATGGGCTCGCCAGTCTCGAGGATCTCGCGGGTGCACGGCAATTGAAAGAAAAGTTCTTTAATTTGTATTCTCCGAGTTGATTCCTTTTTCTTATTCGTCCTTCTTTTATCTGCTGCAACACATGGCGATCACTGGCATCTGGTTTGGCATGAAGCATTCTTCGGGAGTTTGCCCTTGGGACAGGATAGGTATCTTTTTCAATGCTTTGCGTTATGTACATTATAACTGTAAAATAATTGGAACCTGAGGCTTGGCGATAAGCAATCACCAATGGTATTCTAACTTGCTCACTTCGCTGCGGAAAATAAGTATGTTGCACGGCCGCAAACGTCTTTGACGGTTGTACCTTATGTGTCCGGATGGGGCAACAGTGGCAGTGGACGGATGACATCGAATAATCAAGGCGGCGAAACAATTCGGCTGGACAGGAATACTTGGCCTGTGGTTTGGTTCTTGATCCAACCAGCTTTCCTACAGTACCTTAGTTTCACGCTTGTCTAGCACTCTCATGCACCTAATTAGTCTCCTTTGTTGGATTGATTAATTAATCTGAGGATACTACATTGATTTTGTGTTTTAAGTTAACCGTTCTTATATCGAAGTTGGCCCCTCCGGGACTCCGAAGATCTACATACCGTACGCATCCTCAATTCCACCCCTTCGCAGCCAAATCGCGACTACTTGCGTCTCTCCGCCTTGACACGTAATCGAGGCGGGATTTGAGCCACTGCCGTGCTGGTGTTCGTTTGTCTGCATCTCCAGGATCGAGGAGCCTTCTGGTTCCTGTGACTTCTGGATAATTGATCTGCGCCTACACATGCTGTGATACCCCGAGAAATGAACAGGCATCACGCCTTTTCCAATGGCTACTCTGCCTACCCCCGCGGGCAGAGCAGAGCATTTTCCATCTCTCCTCATCGGTAAGTGGGCTTTGGTTCCGTCATCTACGCGGGATTGCATTTCTGCAGATATATCAGAGTAGCAGACACGATTAGCGTTCTTAATTCGGGCTGATTTCTTGTCTGCATTGCTAGTTTTCAACCACGTCCGCAATCTGCCCTACGACGACGAAGACTGCTCATCCAGCGGCTATGTCTCATCGGTGGCATCTCTCTGCTAATACTCGTCCTCATCTTTCCTTCATGGCGCGCCGCGATTCTTCCCACATTATCGCTTGGACTTATACATTCCAGCGAAGATATACAGCTACAGACTGTCCGATATTATGACCTGTCTAAAGTACAAGGCACGGCGCAAGGATGGGAGAAAGGGGAGCGTGTACTCATGTTGACCCCTCTCCGAGACGCCTCGTCGCATCTGCCAATGTTCTTTTCACACCTCCGAAATCTCACCTACCCTCACAACCTCATTGATCTAGCGTTCCTGGTGTCGGACTCGAAAGATGATACGTTGGGAATGCTGACGCGTATGCTCGAGGAGGTCCAAAACGATACTGATCCCAAGATGACGTTCGGAGAAATTTCGGTCATCCAAAAGGATTTTGGGCAGAAGGTGCAGCAGGATGTGGAAAGTAGACATGGGTTTGCTGCACAGGCGGGACGGAGAAAACTGATGGCCCAGGCGAGGAATTGGCTGCTGAGTGCTACTCTACGTCCGACCCACAGCTGGGTTTACTGGAGAGACGCCGATGTTGAGACTGCTCCTCGCACTATCCTGGAGGACTTGATGCGACATGACAAGGATGTCATTGTACCGAGTAAGTTGTACCGTCTCGATTCCTGCGATTTTCGATCTAATGGGCGTTGCAATAGATGTCTGGCGACCACTCCCCGACTGGTTGGGTGGGGAACAGCCCTATGACTTGAACTCATGGCAAGAGTCGGAGACGGCTTTGGCTCTGGCTGAAACGTTGGACGAGGATGCGGTGATTGTAGAGGGATATGCGGAGTATGCTACTTGGCGGCCTCACCTCGCCTACCTTCGCGACCCTTTTGGAGACCCCGACATGGAGATGGAGCTGGATGGTGTCGGAGGTGTCAGTATCCTAGCCAAGGCAAAAGTGTTTCGCTCTGGAGTTCATTTTCCTGCCTTCAGTTTCGAGAAGCACGCTGAAACTGAAGCGTTCGGGAAAGTAAGTGTCGTCTTGATTCCTTGTGCTGTGCGCAAAATGCTAAATTTCACTAGATGGCTAAGCGCATGGGATTCTCGGTCATCGGTCTTCCTCACTACACGATCTGGCACCTTTACGAACCTAGTGTAGACGACCTTCGACACATGGAAGAAATGGAGCAGGAGCGGAAGGCTAGGGAGAGGGAAGAGAAGGAGCAAGCTGAACGAGCTGAGCGCATGAAGGCCCTCTTCGTAGAACCCGGGCCGCAATGGGATATCGACAAAGCCTTCGTGGAGGATTCAATTCAGATTGAGAAACAGGAGGCCGGCCAGACCAAGGCCGACGGAGTGACAGGGGCAGCAGAGGTTAAAGACGTGCAGGATTCAATTCAGATTGAGAAACAGGAGGCCGGCCAGACCAAGGCCGACGGAGTGACAGGGGCAGCAGAGGTTAAAGACGTGCAGGATTCTGCAAGTCACCCTGTCGCTGCTTCACCAAAGCCAAGTGTCAATGCCGCGCCAGTCGTGCGAGGAAGACCCGGGGAGGCGGAGCGGAGCATCTAAAGGCTTCCGTCGTCAATTTGATCTGTATTGATCTGCGCATCCTGGAGCCAGTCGAGCTGTTCTCCCGCCAAACCCTTTCTTTCCATGATCATCTTCCGGGCCCCCGGCACAGCTTCTCCCGGATCTTATCGTCATCTTCACTGGACACCCTGTTGCCTGCTTTTCCTTGATGATCAGGGGGCCTGTCATATGATACTTCCTGCATACTAACATCATGCGTCCTCATACTTGTTTGAGATGCATCAATCGCTGTACTGGTTACAGTGTGGTTTTCTTCCCTGCCTCCGGCCGGGCTGTTCTGCGGCCGGGCGCTTTTGTAAATCTACATAGACTGTTTTCTTTTTGCTTCATTCAGCCATGTCTTACTCCATCATATAGTCCAAATTTCGCGAGCTGGTGTGATTTCAATTAGTATGTTGGCTGCTTTCGAATACAAGAACAATCAGCGAAGAGAATACACAAATATTGCACATAAATCACTACCTACCACCTAGGAAAATCCGGTGAGCAATAAGAGAGGTACAGGACTTCATATTCCCATACCAAAGATGTTCTGGAATCGTGGATCTGGGTCCCTCATTAAGCAATGGTCTGTGCGCCCATCATTATCGCGGACATGGCGCGTACCGCGTTCAGGAACTTTTTGAATCCTGCTGTACAGCGTACCTCGACAGTTACACCCATGAGAACCACACATTACGGACGCTCTTCAAGTATATCTAACCGACAAGTAACTACCTTATCCGAAGCGACAGGCAGAGCTTCGAAGCGCCAGCGGCAATAAAACACCAACCAGCATGTCTACCCAAGCCGCCCGAAGCATCCTCTTCACACACACATCCCCCAGCAAGGGTTCAGGTTACTCGAGCTACCCTCAGAACTAGCGGAGCTCCTCTCTTCAAAAGAAGCACCAACGTATTTACCCCCATTACTTCATTCGTACGAGGAAATGCCTAACGCGTCACCAGCCTCGAGCTCAAATCCACCTCAACATCACACCTCCCGAACTCAAGCACGGACACCGAGAATCACGATTATGTCAATCTATGCACTCCGAACCAAACATACCGCATCCGTCAAGTCCAGTCCTCGAACTCGATCCATATCCTCCAACCGAGCGATGGCGACGCCCAGCGAGGCGACATCACCATGGTCGGCGCGGACGACGAGATGAACCTCGTGGAGACGGTCACCACAATCGCAAAGTGCGGGTCCACGCTGGAATTGCATACTCCGGCGGCAGGGTTCTCGGCGGTTTCGTTCCTTGAGGGAATGCTGACGGTGTATGATGGGGGTGAAGGGAGTGAAGATGTGGGCTTCGATCTAGAGCCGGCTGAGAAGGAGGGTGTCATACGTCGGGTTTTTGAGGATGTCCCCGTTTCGGGGGCGCAGTGTGAAGCCGGTTGGATTGAGATCTGCGCCTTTGTGCTTAGTCGGGCGGATAAGGGCGAAGTTGCTGCACGTTGTTGTCGGCGGCCTTCTGCGAGAGCGAAGCTGGAGGTGTGGAAGAGGGTTCTTGAAGGCGCGGTGCTGCAGGGTATTCGTCTCGACCAGCAGTTTCTTGTGTCGGATCTGTGGAAGTCGGTGCTGGACGATGGGGCCGAGGAGCCGTTTCCGCGGGCGCTGTTCGAGGCTATCGTTAGGAGAGTTTGCGAAGCAGATGGTCAGGCTCAAGGGCTTGTTGACGGGGACATGAAGTGTGAGTTACTGCCATGAAGACTTGGAAAATGGTCAATGTCTGACGGCGATACTCGCGCAGGGGCTAGCATCGACAAGGCCAGGTGCACACGATGGGTCGGCGAGACGTATCTGGAGGCTATGGCGCCTGCTCAGGGTTCGGCAATTGGGCGAAGCGAGTTCCTCAATGCTTGGAAGGATCATCTTCCTGATTCATGGCGGGATGAAGTGGCATTGTCCAAACTGACGGTATGTGTCCGGTTATAGTCAGCCAATTGTCTTTGTTTTGAAGCTGATTACAGAGTACTGATTTCCTACAGGAGAACTCCTACAGGCATCCAGACCACACAACAATCTACTTCGTCGACAACATCGACAGACATAAGATCAAGAAGAATATCTCGACAGATGCCAATACTGCCGCAGCTGCCAAAAAGTCACGAAACTGGCATGAACTGTTCAGAAACCAAAAAAGACAGAAGAATTGAAGAACAAATTCTATGTTCCATTGACATCTCTCGTGGACTTGTCAGGCTGTATCAGGCTCTATCTCTAGCGGATTCTTCACGAAGAAAACGATGACCACCCGGAACGAAAACATGAAACATGGTAGAAGCCAACATCTTTCAGCACCAGGCATACTTCTCGTTCCAGAGCCATTCGACCTCTTCGCCTAGGCCTTGTGCGGCGCCTGTCCACCTCAAGCTGGCGATGCTGCTTTTCTCTCGGTGAATCAGCTCTGCTGGGGAATCTAGCATGGCAACTGCCTTCTGCAACAGCGGAGTTGGATTCCAACAATCAACCTTTGCCATATCCCATTCGTGAGCCTCGAGTTGAGCCCTCCTCAGGATAGCAGCCATGGCCTTTGCTGTCGCTTCAGTCTCTTCCGGCGTGGTCGGTTCATCATACACCCATCGCAAAATGAACAAAGTGTTGTCCTGGGGTGACTCGCCGAAGTTCCTATTCCATGCACAGTACACTTGTGCCTTGTCCTCACCAGCACCCTTGATTAGCGGCGGGGCTCGGTCGCCATGAAGCTTCTCTGCATAGAACTCTTCCCTCGCCCAGTGCCAAACGAAATGGTCAAAGTCCGGAAGGATTGCTACGTGGGCGACTGGGGTCTTCTCGGAGGCAGCACGCAGGGATTCCCGTTCTTTCTGTAAGACTCGATCGCTACACATGCATTTGCGAACGTCATCGGCAACCAAGGTTCTCGCCTTTGGTAGATTTGCCCGTGAGGACAGGTCATATTCTTCCCTGGAGATAGGTGGAAGAGAGATGTGCGAAGAAGGAAACGGCTTCCACCCAAATTGCGCATAAAAGTTCTTTCCGATATCCGAAAACAACACGCTGAAGAGTGATCTACTTCTGGGCTCGTTTTCCATTTCCCACGTCTCCAGCTTCGTGCACAATTCCTGCATCATTCTCTTGGCGTAACCTTTGCCTCTGTGTTCAGGTCGACAATAGACGCTCCCGACTCCATGGGTAGCAACATCTTCCACCTTGCCGTGGTGAGCCAGCAATGCCTTCTTCTTGTATGTCTCACAAGAACTCAAGATCGTCCGCTGGCCTGCTGGCTCCCTACGGTCAACCAAAAGCCAACAGGTCAAGCCATCCTTAACCAATCGCTGCTGATACAAATGGTTCTCTCTTGCGATGTACGTCTCGACGTCTAGACGGCCCTTCCACGCTGCACTGTTGAGCCTGATGGACTTGATCCGTTCCTCTGGTGTGGCAGGGACCAGAACCAGCTCAGGCGAATCTCCTGGCGGCAACTCCGTGGGGTTAGCGGCAATCATTGTGTCAAAAGGCGATTAATTGAAAACACTCAAGTGTTTTTGAGCCGGTACCGAACAGGAAACTATCAGTTCTTTGAGTAATGACTCATTCAGTCCGTTATCATAAGGCGATGCACTAGTTACTGATAAGATAGACGACCAGACGCGGTTGAAATAGTTTGGAAGACAATGCCAATGAGGGCGAAATCTACGCACCGGGCCGGTCTGGGGGTGATATAATGAGCGGCCATTGTCCTACATTCCCATGGATGTTGTTTCCATTTGTCATGATTCCGATGGCAAGCGATGGCAAGCGATAAGCGCTCTAGTTGGAGGCTGTACCTGCCTGTCCTGGTCATGACGTATGGGGCCCTTAGAGCGGAACGGAGCAAATGCGGAGAGGATTCTCCATAACCCCCTAACTACTCGGACTCCGTAGTATGTACCAGAGTTATTCAGGACAATCAATGTAGACTATGTAGGTTAGGGCACAGGGTAGACCTGGGTCTGATGACCAGCGCTAGTTCGTCTTTGTCCTAGTCACACGCCCTTCATCGTGAAACATGCAGAGCCTATCATCAGGGATCATCCAACTCCTCGTGAAGCAGGAATACCATTCAGGATTCTGCTTGCTGGCATTGTCCAAACTACCAGAGTCCTCAAATGACATAACAATGAAGAAAATGTAATCGAGGACCGAACCCCAAGGGACTCGCAAGGGAGCTGTTAATGACGACACTATTCCTAATCGGACTAGCTTCCCTGGGAGCTCGAACCAAGGTCAAGGCCCCGCTAGCCCTCATTGGGAAAAGCAGATAAGCTCCCGACCAGAAAACGAGTCCAGCTTCGAGCCCTGGAGCCGTTCGATAGATAGATGCTTGTATTGCACAAAGGATGTGAAACTTTTTGACATTTAAGATCCTGATCTCTACCAGAGAAGAGCTTTTTCGTTCATAGTTCCATCATGGCCCGTGTCTCACCCAGGATTAGAACAGCTGACAGGCGGTCTCATACTGCCGTATTGAATCACGTGGAGCAGGCTGTCTTACTTTTGGAGGAGTGGTTGTTCGTGCCTTAAAAGATACACGCCCTGTCTTTGAAGTCTCTTCATATTGACGGCACTGGGCTATTCGCCGTGCTTGAGTTATTCAGAGGATCTTCATGGGGCCTTGTACGTGATGCAGCAGTCAAGTCCATTCCTCCTCGAGCCTTCGCCCAACCAGCGAGATTGTTTGGCCCAGGCTTGATCAGATCCTCAGTATCGAATCGAAGCGCTTCATTCGATGTTAGAGGGCAGACAGCAGAATTCCAGCTTAAGGAAATTTGGCAACAAGCAGTACGCATCAGCTTGAGGAATATTGAGTCTTCGTCTTGATGTTAAATGATGATGGTCTCTTGAACCTGAAGTTCTAACACAGTAGGTGCTGACTTTCCTTGGAGCCTCAGGCTTATCATCTCTCCAGTATCTCCATTGATAGAAGTCCAATTGCTCTATTGTTCCTTTTTGGACATTTGGCATCTTCTCTCCTATCTCCTTAGTCTTTCGTATAGATCACTGTTATTGTCATTCAAGAATGAATAATAATTAGTTTGCAGGACCGCCCGGTTTCGCGGAGGTCGATGTATTCACTTCGGCGTCCTGATTTCTTACCAGCCTCCATCATTGGCCTCATAAAACTTGGGAAACCCAGCTCACATCTGTTGTTGAAGTCTTTCTTCCAGCCTTCAGACCAGCCCCGATCTTTATTGGAGAACTCCTGGTGTTCATGCCCTCCTCTCTCTCCATCTCTCTCCGTACCCTCGCTTCGACAGAACTTCTCTACCTTCCTTCCACACTTTCACATTTCTGTCTAAGCACAATCTGCACGTACTTGCAAAGTAGAAAACTTTTTCTTATCTATCTTCTAGCTGTACTGTTTAAACTTCGATTGCTCCTTGCCTCTTTTCGTTGAGCCAAGATGGCCCAGGTCTCCATAGTTGCCGCAGAGGCTGAAGACAAATATGCCCTCGACCATGACATCCAAAGCGAATCAGGCTTGGAAGATCTTGCCAACGATTCCTCCTGGGACTCCGATGTACAAAACTACGACTGGGACTCTGACCGGTCAGACGTGGACGCCACTCCTGCTAGACCTGCGAAAAGGATAGCTGTCAATCGTGATAAGAACGCCAATTTCATTGACTTGACTGAGGAGCCATCCCTTTCAGTAGGAGGTACTATGTCAACTCCAACAATAGCTGCGCCTGTCTCACTCATGGCGGCCGCTCTCTGTCAATACTCTCATGATACAGCCGCATTGTCGGTACAGGTTATGGAACTTTTTCCAGATATCTGCCACGAATATCTGAAAGGACTTCTATCTCGCTATGCGGGCAACATATCTCACACTGAAGCGAATGTGGCCTCTGAAAAATTGATGGCCACCAAGGAGATGGTGGTCGAGGAAATCTTGGCCAACCCGTCATATCCCAAGAAACAGCTGAAGAGAAAGAGAGAAGAGACCAAAGACGATGCCGAAAATAAGAAATGGACATCTATAAACCACGACGGGGAGCTTTGGTATCAGGAAGCCGCGTAAGTATTCATCTGTGCCGTCTTCGACGTATGAGACTTGTTCCAAAGCTTACAACGCTGCTCTAGGACGTACCTACTCGGAGACATGTTCCCCTTTGTACCAGATTCTTACATCCGCCAGATACTCAGGGAGAAGAAGAATCTGTTTTCAGCTTGCCAAGCTCTGTCAACTGCAGAACATGCGCCTGCACCTACTCGGCGGCCTTACGACAAATTGAAACGGGCAAGAGTCCGCAGACATAGGGATATACGCTTGGACATATACAATCATCCGGCCTATGGAGAGTTGCAGATGGAAGTGAAAGATGCCAAGCTAAAGCTTGCCAGGGATGCTGGTAAGCTTTTCTGTCAATGTCAGCATGAGATTCGCTTGTTGCTGACCAGTGCATACAGAGCTCGTTCACGATCAGAAAAGGCAAGAAGAGGCCGAGAGAAGGAACCAAGAGCAGCACGCCCGAGCCGGAACTCTAGTAGAGTGCCAATGCTGCTATTCTGATGTTCCTCCAAACAGAGCCATAACATGCGAAGGAGAGAATGTTCATTTCTTCTGCTTCTCCTGTATCCGCAAGTCTGCAGAGACACAGATTGGCCTCATGAAGTACCAGCTTCAATGCTTTGACACTAGCGGTTGTCAGGCTGGCTTTCCCCGCTCCGAGATAAAGGAGGTGCTTGGATCTTCGATGATGGCAAAATTGGATGCTCTCCAACAGCAAGACGAGATCTCTCGTGCCAGCATTGAAGGGCTGGAAAGCTGCCCATTCTGCGAATTCAAGGCCATCTGCCCTCCAGTCGATGAAGACCGGGAGTTCCGTTGCTGCAACCCATCCTGTGAGGTGGTCAGCTGCCGGTTATGCAAGGATGTCACTCATGTACCCAAAACGTGCGAAGAAGCGAAAAAAGACAGGGGCGTTTCTGAGCGCCACCTGGTCGAAGAAGCCATGAGTGAGGCTCTGATTCGCAATTGCCCTCGATGCAAAGTCAAAATCGTCAAGGAGTTCGGTTGCAACAAAATGACATGTCCGAGTTGCAGGTGCTGCATGTGTTATTTGTGTAAGAAAGACATTACCCGCGAACAATATGCTCATTTCGGCTATGGTCCCAACGCCTGTACCGTCGAAGATGATCCCATGCGTGACCAGAAAGAGGTCGAACAAGCACAGAAGAAGACAATCGAGGAGATTCGGGCAGAGAATCCCGGCCTCAACAGTGAGGAACTCCAGGTGAAACTTCCGGAGGCGAATAACACAAATCAGAGAAGGGATCGGGCGAGGGCTCCTTTCCACTTTCATCGAGAACCGGCCTTTAATGTTATTATGCAAGCTCAGCGCCAAGCTCGGCTCGAAGCAAATCAACAGCGTGCACTGGAGCGAGAGCGACGGAATCCCTTCGCGCAGGCCATCGACGAATTCCAGGGATTCTTGGATGCTATACAATTTCCTGCGTTTGGATATCACGACATGCCGAATGCGATCAACAATCCCCTTCCGGTCGGCCAACCCCATCACCTTAACGCTCCCGTTGAGCATCGTGCTCCTGCAGGAGCAGGTTTGGCAGCCATCATACCCGGCTCTGGACAACCGGCGGGAACCGGTCTGCGCAATGATCCTTTCCTCGTCGACGACCCCGTGCGGATGAATCAGAATCAGAATCAGCCCGCTGGATACGCCCCCTATGATCACTACTTTCCAGCTCCGATGCCTGCGCCTGCTCAGCGAGGCATCATGCCTCCTGCTCCGCATCACCTGAACGCAGATCCGTACGGCAACCAGTACATTGGACAGCAGCCACTACCTGCTTACAGAAACGACTTCTACCCTTTTTTCTGAGCATGCCACCACCTCCAAGGAGTCTCTTCCCTCGGAAAAAGTTGACCTAGTCGCGGTTTTCTCAAGAAAAATCCAAATTCAACAAAACGATCCAGAGACTCCCTGTCGACGGACGACAAGCGCCTACGCGTTTACGGCTCAACTCCCCACTGGTTTTTGTGTGGCTCCTGCCTTCCTGTTTTAGAATTCGTACGTTTCATTTCCTACGCAGCTTGTGATTTTCAAATCGACTCGCCTTAAAAAACTGTTCTATACCCCCTATGTACTTGCCTATCCGTCTACTTTCTCCAGCTACACAGTGTTTTCCCTGGTCTTTTTAAGTTTTTAGCTACTACCTCCAAGCGCAGCGATCTGATTAATATTCCTGGCTCATACTGCTTTGTTCCCCCAGTCGATGGAAACCAGCGTATTAGGTTGAAATGTCAAATAATGATGAAAATCTTTACCACTTTATGTACTCAGTTGTGTAGAGTCAAACAGTAGTATCAGTGCCCCATGTCAGGTAACTACGGCGGATAACTTTGTACCCGAAGACTGGGTAGACTGACACGTATCCGTACACCTGCACTTGGTTGACGGTATATCGTGGCGGCGTTGCTATCGACTTTTTACTATTTTCCATGATATTTGTATTGGCTAGGATCATCTGATAACGCAACTCCACGCAAGAGATGAGAGAAGTACAGAAAGAAAATGGTATGGAAGGTCGAGACAATGATAGAAAGGAAAAATAAAAACGTGATCAAAGAGGGAAAATGATCTGAGAAAAAGAGAGTCAAAAGACAGCGAGAGACAAGCGAAAAAACGAGGAAAAATAATGAGAAATGGGAGAGCACAGTAAAGAAATGAGAGATTTGAGCTGTTCTATGTAAATGCCATGCGAGTCCCAGAAATCGTCCGCGCCCCATTTATGTATTTGCGCCACTCTTTTCAGACGACAGATATTTGCCCTCATCCATCATGTATGTTCGATCATCGGTCACGCTAATTCAAGAATGAAATGAAAAGGAAAGAGACAAGAAAAGGATCACAGATGGAGAACAGTAAGCGCAAGGGGAAGGAATGAGACACAGAACCCTAAGTAGACAGACCGATTAAAGCATCAAGAGACAGGCAATGCAATTCATGGCGGATGTTCGGAATCCACTGGTTCATTAAACTTCTGTCGCGCCTCTTCCACCCATAGTTCCAACCGAAGCTCGCCAGCTTCTACGCGTCGTACGGGTACCGTTTTGGCCCGACCATTCGACACTTTGGGGGGAGGTTGATGCAGGTCGCCGTTTTTCGATTTGGAAACGGAGTAGGGAGCAGTACACGACCTCAGGTGAATCTTCCCGGGTTCGGCAACAATCCAGGTCTGTTCTTCCTTTGTGGTGCCAGCCGGAGGTAATGCATCCTCCCGAACTTCGATACAGACGGTAAAGCTGAACTCGTCATCTCGAGGCAACGGGGTCAGCCGGGCGCAAGCAGAGGCCAGTCTTGCGAGGCAAGCACGGAACTGCGCTTCAAGGTCCACAGTTGTAGGAGCGGGACCCCGATCGGGAACGGGGACACCTGGCTTGGATGAATCTTCTTTTCTGTCTTCAAAAGTTGTATTGACATCTCCGGCAGAAACACGGGGGAACCCCGACAGATCAAAGGCATATCGTTCGAGGGGCTGATTTGTGCGGAGAGATGAAATGATGATACTGACAGCGGTGATAGTGCCTTTCAAAATCTCCGTCCCGACCGCAATTGACGCATCATTGATGTAGTCACACACCTTTGGGTGACGAGATTGTCGCACTGGGTAGTTGTAGGCCCGGACCGGTAAAAATGTTGCTCGTGGATAGACCGACCGAAGAAAGAGGATTTGGTGAATTGACACGGTGAGAAAGTTTGTGAAGGATGCCGCCAACGCAGATTGATTGTTTGGCATCGACATGGGCACTGTGACCGGAGCGGAGAAGGTGGTCATGGTGGTGGTCGCAGTACTGCTCTCACTGGCTATCGGCATTGCCGTCGAAAGCTCTGGTATCGTCGTTTCCACGGGAAAGATGAAGTTGACGGTATCTCGATTCTGAGTGTTGTTCCACCCTGAAGCTAATCATCGCTCTGCCTTGTGTTCAGACAATGTGTCAATCACTATTTCTCTGGCCAAATCATGGGAAATGACGTGTAGATCTGCCGAGTTCGAGTTGTCGCGACAAAGGACGGGCGGGGATGATGTGATATCGAGCAGGAAAGAAACGCAAACAGAACTGAGATATGAACACAGAAAAAGCAAGACCGTCTATAATAGAATACAAATTTTTTTGAGAGAAGACAAAGGAGAAGAGAATCAACGTGTTGTATGATGTTGAAAGCGTTGAGGAGGGGATGGCGGCGGGGGGAGGAGGGGCTTGGTGGTGGTTGGTGGTTAGGTTAAGTCTGAAGGTAAAGATTGGGAAGCAGAGAACGTGGATGACTGAGAAGGAGCAGGTGAGGAGTCAAGAAAATGAACATGAGTAAGTAGTAAATAACTGTAATGAAAAGAAGAGGTCCTTTTTAGCCTGTATTTTAGTGGGCAGAAAGATATGGATGACATGGAGGGGAGGGGCGGGAATAGTACGGAACCTGAACAAGGTGCAGAGTACGAATAGGTATTTCATGGGGGTCATTGATACTTACATACAGACAACAAATTTCGAAGACAAGGGACATGCAAAGAAAGCTCAAAACATTGGCATGTACTGTACTAATGGACTCGTCGATATCGTAATATAGTCGAATGGAAAGGGTCGAAAGATATCAATCAAATAGAAAATGATTATGACCACACAAGGGTGAAAATAAGGAGATCAAAGAGATATAAGTAGTGGTTCGATGACAACGAGAGTACTCAAAAAGGCGTTTCTGTCTTGTTTCGCTTCGTTTTTAAGGTACGGGAATGCCTCTTTTTGTAATTCCTGGTTTTTTTGCTGTTGTTTCCAGGTTCAGTTTACCCTGTACCCCCACTAGTTCGCGTTTGCTGAAAAACTTCAAAGATACTTGGAAAGGAGTATTATGCACAGATTGAATGTTGGCTTTCTAGAAAGGGCAAACAAGGGGTCCTCTTGTACCCGTTTGAACGTGGATAGATCCGTTAAGTGGATGACTTAAGAGAGACCCTTTGTGCGATGGAGGTGAGAGGGAGGGAGAGTATGAGGGCTGCTGCTCACAGGGATGTATCGGAATTAAATCAATCTGAGCGGCTCAGGCCCAATATTAATGCAAGCTTAAATGCGCCACACAAGCGAGAGTGGTAAAAGAAGAAGGCGAGGCGAGAAATCAAGTCAACAGAAAAGAAGGAAAAAAGTGGTAGGCAAACATTCTGGAGGGGAAAAGGCGCGGAAGGTCAACTACCCCAAGCCATCACGTGGTTGCGTCATGGGTGTGGGTGCCTTGCAGAACAGCTTGAACAGGAGTCTCAACTCCGTACTCCGTACTCTGTACGCACTTGACTATGGGCAGAAAGTAACGGAGGACATATGACTCGAGCTGACAGAAGAAAGTGAGTGTTGCTCCTGACCCAAATCTCAGTCCCAAGGAAAGGTCGACAGGAGAACCATTCCGTTCATATGGTCAACAATTGACCTATCTTATCTTCAAGCGAGATGATTATATTATTACATATTATACATTAGCACTTGTATATTGAGGTCAGCATTGAAGACAATATCCATGATCCGTCCAGTGCTGCTCTCGAAGTCCTCATCTCGAAAACTCTTTCGTTCTCCACCAGAATCAAGTATCGGGTGGCTCAACCGCTTAACACGCTCTGGTTGGTACACAGTATGGCCTCCATGGCGACTGATGGCCGATCATCTCTGTTAAAGCAAAGCGAAAAGACCAGGGCATTAGTAATCCCGCAGCAGTAACATCACGAGATTCAAAAGTTGGAATGACAGGAGAGGAACAAGGACTTTTGAAATGAGATGTCATCACTGCTTCCTAGGCGCGGTTGATATTCAACTGCATCCTACTGTTCAGACTGCTCATCGCTGTATACGAAGATCGAATTCTCCGAGCTGCTCTATTTGAGGTTCACAAGAGCAAGTCCACCGACAGGGGTCCTCTGGGTTCTAGCATGTCATCAGTATCCTCCTACGTCATGGCATGTATGTATGATGTTGCTTAAATTCTTTAGTCCTCTTTTCTTTGGCCCGTCAGCCTCTGATCCTAGCACCGTGGCGGCGACGGATGAAAAAGTACTAATGGCTAATCTTTTCCGCGTCATTTAGGTGTTCTTTGCCTGGCTAAGGATGGATACCTACTACGTATCTGCTCGGGTAAGATTGGGCATTGATCTATGGCGATCTGTGCAGTAAAGGTACGTACCTGGCTACTCACCTTACTGTAAGATCAGTATTTGTACTGTTGTACATTACGCTTTGCTACCTCCGGCTGTCTATTCTATCTTCAAAAAATGTGCTGTCCTGTACATTTGATGATTTCTATGCTTTAAGCTTATTTACTTTATTCTCCATCTCCTGTGTCCTGACTCCTGAGTACTCTCTGTTACGGCTTCATCTGCCTTTTGCCGCCTCTTTGGTGCCCTGACAGCTGTGTAAGAAGTGCGATTGTCTCCACATAGGACAATTCACCATTCCTACGGCAGTAGATAATTTAACTGGATCAATTTGCCAAGAGCTCCACTAATGATCAGCGTCTCTGTTTCCAGGGCTCTCTGTCTTGTGCTGATAATATCATCATTTCATTTTTGGTTTCTGATATTTCCATTGCAGTATCTTCAATAATATCTTCTTCATCAAGTTCCACAGCACTCTTCTGTCAACGTGTATCCCAGTACACAAGAAAATCTGCATGATAATCCCTGTCACACGCCTGCTAACTCCTATCGATAAGTTACTACTCCGTGTAAGTGTTTTAGTTTCTAAGTAATGACCTCCTCCGTTGAAATATTTGTGTTGGCATATTGCTACTGGGACAACAGTAAGTATGGAGTTAAGATACATAGCGCTTAGCGGGACAAGGAAATAAGGCAACTAGTACGAGTATCTAGTAACTCGTCGGTCCACAGTAGATCCTTCTCCACAATAGATTACAGGTAATAGAATGAAATGGCAAGGGTGGATTTCTCTACTTCGACTGTTGCACTGCAGCAGTGACAAAGGAGACCATTCTTAAAGAATATACAGAGTAGGCGCTTTATATTATACCAAGGACAAGATCCTTAAAGACTACTTTCTACCCGAAAGAGAGAACAACAGACTGTGATGTCGGGGATTGGGAGTAGCCATTGTCTATCTCCATTGTGCATTACAGTGGTGTATACAGCCGTCGAAATTTCAATAATTTGCAATTACCATAATAGTCGTTATAATGATTGACTTACTCACCGCCTCCCCTTTTGCGTTGTGTGCTTCCACCGTCTTCTGCCCCTCCTACGCGACAGAAATGATAATCATTCGCGTCGTATCAACTAATATCTTCAACTGCAGGTCAATTGCAGGCGCCATTGAACAGCAGGCGTTTCCTCTGTAGGTAGCTGCTCTGGGGCCTTAGCTACAACTGTGGATTCTCTTCCGGCAGCCTGCACTACCCCTCAAATCCCATCCGTCATGGAGCAACAGCTCTTGACACTACTTGCAGACACACAGTCGCCAGCGGCCGACACAAGAAAGGCCGCTGAGCTTCAGCTTCTTCGCCTCTATTCCAATGAACAGTTCCCCCTCTCTCTCGCCGCCATAGCCTCTCACGACTCCGTTCCTACCAACCTTCGCCAGTCCTCCCTGTCCGTCCTGCGTACCTTCATAACGGCCGCTTGGTCGCCGAATCTAGACGAATTCAAGGGTCAGGTTCTGATCAATGACACCAACAAGGCTCAGCTCCGACGTATTCTGTTGGAGCTGGCCACCACTGCGGATGTGCAAGAGCGGAAGGTCAAATCGTCTGCCAGCTATGCGGTCAGCAAGATTGCCAGCGCCGATTTCCCTGATGAATGGCCAGAGCTTCTCCCGTCGCTGCTTCAGGTCATCAACGATGCTAATAGCAGTGCGGGTGCATTGCACGGCGCGTTGAAAGTTCTGTTGGACCTTGTCGACACCGGTTTCAGTGAGGAGCAGTTCTTTGGTGTTGCCCGCGACCTCGTTACCACTCTCTTCAACATTGCGACTAGTGAGTCAAGAAAGCCGATGCTGAGAGCATTGGCCGTTGCCGTTTTTCGCTCTTGCTTCGATACCCTGGAGATGGTGCTTGAGCAGCACAAGGTGGCAGTCAAACATTTTATGGATGAGGTGCTGAGCGGCTGGTCCCCATTCTTCATTGAGACTCTGAAGGCCCCTTGCCACAGGCCCCCAGTGAGCAAGAGGAGTCCAAAGAGGGAGAAGTCCCTTCTCAATGGAGGGGTATAATTGGCTTGAAATTGCAGGTGGTCAAGGTAGGCTGTCTCAATAACTTAGAGACATCTCCAACTGGTACTGACGACATAATTCTTCGCTGTTAGACGCTTATGAAGATTAGAATGGTCTTTCCCGGCCTCATGACAGCTCAAAGCCCGGTCTACTTCTCGACTGTCTGGACAGAGCTTTCCAACATTCAGTCTGCTTACCACGAGTTCTATATTCATGACGAACGACAGGGCCGCTTAGAAGATGTTGACGGACTCCCTTACACGCTGGACTTCCTTGTGCTGGAAGAGCTTGATCTGATTCAAGCCCTTCTAAAGGCACCACCAGTCAAAGCTGAACTCCAGCAGCAGTTGCAGAACGCTGGTCAGGCTGCAGCAACTGCCAGTTGGCTTCCAGAGATCTTGAAGCTGGCCAGTTCATACGCCCAGATTACGACTGAAGAAGAAGGCTTGTGGGACATTGATGTGAATCTCTTTCTATCGGAAGAGACCTCTGTCACTGCCAATTACACCCCCCGAACCTGCAGTGGAGACTTGGTCATTAAACTGGGAGAATGGCTCAAGGTCACGACTGTTGAGGGTCTCCTCGCCTACATGAACAATCTTTTTGCCGACTCAACATCGACGTATGTATTCCAGTTACTACTAAGCTTGAAATCGCTAACATAGTTCTGGCAGATGGAAATCTCGCGAATCAGCTTTGTTCATTCTCAACCAGTTACTGCGAGACTTCAATGAAGTCTCACAGCAGGTATCTTCCGAGTTGGCGAGTGGCTTCCACAATTTCGTTACGTTCGCTATCCAGCAAGAAGAGGAATTTCTGCGAGCTCGTGGTTACCTTGTGGCAGGTGTCTTGGCTCAAGTTGCGAGCGACGCATTCCAGCCTACCGCCGTCTCCTACTTTGAAGCGACCCTCAAGGCGATCGCTGAAGACCCCTCGGAAGTGGTCAAGGTATCCTGCATTCGGGCCCTCCAGGATCTTATGGCTTCTCTTCCTGCAAGCACTACAGTTCCACTTCAGGTTCCCGTTATCAACGCCCTGTCGGAGTTCATCGCCGCGCACGACCTTCAGGAGCCATCTGAGAGCGACGACCTCAAGGTCACTTTAGCGGAGACGATCCGCGATACTATCATGGTTAATCCAAGTGTGGTCTTGTCATCTGTTGCCATTGATGTCCTGTTCAATATAGCCAGCAATGGGGCTACGAATTTCCAGCTGACAATGATCGTTACCGAGGCGTTCGAGGATATCGTACAGTCTATCTCCGAACAGGGTGCTGATGCTTTCATTCGTCTCTGTGAAAAAGTGCTCCCCTCGCTCATGGGCGCGGTTGATGTGGGCAACCTCACTCAGGAGAATGCTCTCACAAACTTTGCGGCTGATCTCCTGCGCGCCTTGACGGAAGGAGCCCTCCAGCCTTTACCTGCCGGATTTGTAGAGACTGTCATGCCCAAGCTTAACAGGTTGCTGTTGGACTCTTACGATGCTGAGCTAATTCGCCCTGCCACGGAAGCGGTTCGGCACATTCTTTCACATGACTTTGATCAGTTCGTGGCCTGGCGCGATCCCCAGACTGGCAAGGAAGCGGTTGAAATTGCGCTGATAATCATTGATCGGTTGCTGGGCCCGTCGGTCGACGATAACGCCGCAACTGAGGTGGGACAGCTGGCAGCCGAGCTGGTCGAAAGAGCTGGAGCCGAGAGACTTGGCCCTTATCTGCCACAGTTGCTCCGCGCTGTAGCTCAGCGTCTTGCCACAGCTCAACAAGCGCAGTTTATTCAGAGTTTGATCCTTGTCTTCGCCCGACTGACTCTAATAAACGCTCGTGAGGTGGTTGACTTCCTGGCGCAAGTCGACATTAATGGTCAGAGCGGACTGCCAATTGTTTTGAGCAAATGGCTCGAGAACTCGGTCAACTTCGCTGGATACGACGAGATTAAGCAGAACATCATTGCTCTGGCTACACTGTACAACCTCGAGGACCCCTGCCTGGCTCAAGTGCAAGTCAAAGGTGACCTCATCATTCAGGACACGGGTCGCATCAAGACTCGGTCGCAGACCCGCAACAACCCAGACCGCTACACGACGGTGTCGGCTCCGTTGAAAATTATCAAAGTGCTCGTCGAGGAGCTGGCCGCTGCATCCGGCAGCAAGGAGATTGATGCAGCTACCGCGGCCGCTCTAGAGGAAGAGGATAGCGACGACGATGGTGAATGGGAAGACATTCCCAGCAATACGCTGGATCTCAGCCTGGGTGTCACCAAGCAAGAGCTCATGGCCTTTGGCGAAGGTGGCTCTGAAGGAGTGTTTGGTGTGCGCAAGCGGGATGACGAGACTCAGGCATTCTTGCTGGACTTCTTCCACAATGCGTCCACTAAGCCCGGGTTCGAGCAACTGTTCGCCGCGCTAACTCCCGACGAACAGGAGAAGCTCCGCAGCTTGGGCTGATCGGATGTCTTCCCTTTTACCTTGTCTATTTCTTTATTCCCACATAATACGGTCAAGATTCTCGAGGACTACTTGACCAGACTTGACGACGTTATGTATGTAGCTGCTACTGAATAGACCCGTAGCACGGCCAAAAAGCGCCGGCTCTCGTCCGGTTATTATAAATCCATTGCAACACATGTATGCATTTAATACCCATGTGGCACTCGCACTTTGCGTTCCAGGAGGAGTTTTTGTTCCTTCTGGACGTAGGGCGCCGAGATGCATGGCGTACAAGCAGCGAGGGGACCAGTAGCCGGGCAGTGGTACTGTATGGCTGCTGAGTGCTGGCAGCACAACGGGCAAGAAGTAGTATGCACTCGGCATCTGCATGCAAGTACTTTTGCTGTTTCTGTTTTGTTTTGTTTTAGTTTGGCTTGGCGCAGGATTAATATACTTTGCATTCTCAGCGCCGCTGGGAGAACCTGAGAATGGGGTTAGGAAGAGACGGGGCTGCAGTGACGCTCCTTTGAATCGTTATAGCCATGGAGAGGGCCGATGGGAACCGCACTAGGTACATCGGGAACGAATCTACCGATATGTCTCCAAATATCTGTGATCAGGATATCTGCCATACCAAGAAAGCACACACTTGCTCGTTATGTCCTTCTAGAAGGCTGCCAGGCTACACAGCACAAAGCTTCCGTGCTGGCTGTTGATCAGGATACGCAGGAGTGCCTCATAGTCTAGTCTAATTTTCACTTAGCCTTGTTGATGTTTCTGGAGATAGCACTGGTGGAAGTGTGCTGCCCGTGTCGCTCACATCCAAAATTCATCCGCCCCGTGAAAAGTGTATCAGCGAGGGGTAGTCCGTATTTGATGTGAGTTACCAAGCTGCCGGTGCCATAACATAGACTAGATCATATCTAGATGGTAGATAAATACTCTCTGCTGAGGCAACCCACTTGACGAATGACCCATCATACGGAGTACTCAACTGTAAGACTGTAACTCTGAAGGCGACCCGACAAGATGGCTGATCGCCTTCCAGTGAGGGAATTTGATTGGATATTTCGGCCCAGATCGGCTCCAGCCGTGCGGGGCTTTGAGTTTGGTTGCGGATTTGGGATTTGGAACGGGACAGTGCGCTTACTGCCTGATTACCAGGTAGTATCTAGTAGGTTTCGGCCATGTGTTCTGTATTTTGTGTTCACTGTTCTCAAAGATGAAGAGAGACTACATTAGGATGATTGCATTAAGCTAACCTTGATGTTGGGGAGGTGGTACAACAGTCAATGACTCAGATCTCAGAAAAAATAGATTAGACCCAAGGGTACTGCGTAAGAGGGCACATGTGTACTCTGTACTCCGTCAGTAAGCTACGCCATGACCAACATTTGGCTTCTGCAGAATGGGTTTAAGCCTGATTAGGCGACTAGGCCAGACTCGTCAAAAACATCCATCCATACAGAGCGCAGTGCCCGTTCCCAGAACCACAGCGCTGGCTCTCCGGAGAGTCTAACGGACGCATAACAGTCCCAATAGCACACCGCCCGAATCACAATTGGAAACCCATCGTCCTCTTCCCCGGGCCTGGAACCCCCTGCAGCATTTTCCTTTTGGCGACATCGCTTAGTCTTGGACTAAGGTACCTATCTACATATTGAATTTAAACCATATTAATATTACTGGGCTTGTTTGGTTATGGTTTGTGGTTTGCTGTCGTTACTGTGTTTTCATAGGTCCTGCTGCTTTCTCCTTCCAGGATCGCCCTCGATGAGGAGCTCCATCCAGTCTGGCGGATGTCACCTCACTCTGTGCTCCGTAATTATTATTGCTACTATCTCGATTGATCATTATTTGAATTGGCCTCCATATTTAACCGGGGCTGTGTCCACCATCTACTGAAGTCTAGCATCCATTCTCATCTGGTTCTCCTTTTCCGTTCTCATAATTTCCTTCCTTTCATACTTGAGGAAGCTTCGTCATAATTATCGTAGAGATGTCGCGTCCGAATCTAGATGAGCATATCCTGGTCGATGTAAGCTACCACTCTCCTTGATCTCATGTGCCTGTCTTTACTTGGGTTCTCGCCTACCCCGTTGCTTGTTTTGTTTTCCCTGGAAGAAGACATTTGCCTATATTTTGCGGCCAACGGGCTGTTGTATGCAATGTACCATGGCTGTCGACTCTTTTGTCGGCAATAGCCTGCATTTCTTTCCACTGCAAGGGAATTCATAATGACGACGAATTTTGCGTCTAACTGTGGATTTGTCCTATTTTATTTTTCTATCATTCTGCTGCTGTTCATGTTACGACCATTGTATCAATTACCCCTCATCCGTCACGGATATCCCCTCTTCAACTCCCCAAACTTACGAGCTGAAACTAACCACTCATCCCCAGACGAGCGATGAAGACTCGCTATGTGACGCTCAATCCATCATTGACTCCAATTTCAGCCTAACCTCCACAACCCGTGACTACCTCTACGAGAATGGCCGCCGATACCACGCCTACCGACTGGGTCACTACCCAATGCCCAACGACGAGGAAGAACAAGATCGGCTAGCCTTCATGCACCATCTCTTCAAACTGCTCGTAGGAGGTGATCTCTACCGTGCCCCGATCCTCAATGACGGGCCACCGAAACGCATCCTCGACGTAGGCACAGGGACAGGCATCTGGGCGCTGGAGATGGCCGATGACTTCCCCGACGCAGAGATCGTGGGGACGGATCTAAGTCCCATCCAGCCGAACTGGGCACCGCCCAACTGTACATTCAATGTCGACGACGCCGAGAGCGATTGGACGTTCACGCCTGCCGAGGCGTTCGATTACATCCATGCTCGGAGTCTGGGCGGGGGCATTGGCGATTGGAACCGGTTCCTGCGCCAGGCGTATAGGCATACGAAGCCTGGGGGGTGGGTCGAGATCCAGGAGTATGAGACCTGGATCCGCTCGGATGATGGGACGATTCAGCGCGCGCCTATGCTGCTGGACTGGCAGCAGAAGATTGATGCGGCGAGTACGCGATTTGGCAGGCCGATGAACGTTGCGTCGAGTTTGGCAGGGTGGATGCAGGAAGTGGGGTTTGTGAATGTCACGGATGATTCTTATAAGGTATTTCTATCTTTCTCACTCTCTCTCGATGTGGCTAAGAGGTTGCTAACGACTGGCTGTAGTGCCCAGTTGGCTCATGGCCCAAGAGCCCCGGTTGAAAGAGATAGGGAGAGTGGGCAAGATCACACTGTACGAGGCCGTAGAGCCGTATACATTAGCGCTGTTTACTCGCGTGCTCGGCTGGAGTGGCGAAGATGCGCAAGAATACGTGGATAAAGTACGCGCGGACCTGCTGCGCCCCGATATACATGTCTACGTTGTGTACCATTACGTGTATGGACGACGACCGGCGAACAGTTGATGACGGTCTTATGATGATTACGAATAATTACGGCTCCATTGTATATAGTCCGAGAAAAAGTTCTGTTCCTATATCCGGACGTCATGGTCTGTTCATTGGCTTGTTAAAAGATACGATACGCCTCGGTGTCATTATCAGATGCACGAGTACTTGATTCCAGAAACGCTCCTATGACTTTATCTGGTTTCAAATGTAGCTGAATCGACAGACGACTTTAGCCCTGTAGAGAATATCCGACGCCCTCGCCCGTCCCGAGCGCTATCAAGTTCGCCCTCATCTTCTCCGCTCGCTCGCCAATATCAAACGCAGCATCCTCCTGGTGCACCCACGAACCAACACCGTGCTGCAGCACCGCAGTAGCCCGAACCTTCTCATCCGCGTCGGACCCTGACGCCGACACCTTCAACCCAATGCTTCCATGCAGCGTCAACCTAGTTTCCTCGACTCCCTGGGGCTTTGCCTTGTACACCCCCGATGGAGAATATTACTATCATAGAACACCGCATCCCCCGGCCGAAGCTCCACCACCAACTGACCCGGCAGTTCAGGCTCATATGGCCCAGCACTACGCTCCGTCTCCGTGCGTACCCGCCGATGCGACCCCGGGACCACAATCAGCGAGGAATCCGGACACAGTGCCAGATTATACTGCGCATGCGACTGCCGGCCCTGCGGGCTCTTGGCCTGCAGCAACCGTATCTCCTCCTCTGGCGATACGGTCTCAGGAATATCATCGCGGTGCCAGCGGAGCTCGAAATCCTTCGTTTCCGGCGCGACAAGCAGATTGAATAGTTCCATCACCAGTGGCTCGGTAGCGTCGATCGATGACCCTGTGCCCTTGACTCCGAGCAGCTCCTCCGCGACCGCTAGGACCTTCCCGGAGAAATAGAACCGAGCGAATTCCGTGCGGCCGGGCATCTGTGGGTGCAGGAGGTGCTGGACGCCCCAGATACCGCCTTCGGAGGCGGGGGTGCTGTTTTGGGCCAGGGCGGGAACTGCTTGGGGACGGTGCGGAAGTGAGGCCATTGGCCGTTGCGGGCGAGGGTTGTTGCTTTTGTAGCGATGGCGCGGAAGTGCTCGACTTCTTCGGCGGTGAGGAGCGAGGGGATGACGACGAAGCCATCCCGTTGGAGTGCGTCGAGGTAAGAGGTTGAGCCCGTCATTGTGGTAGATGGTTTTCCTGTCAATGGTGGCCCTGTACCGAATAAAGAATCTGGATGGAGTAGTTGATGTTTAGCTGTCGGGTGGGGTAGGTTGAGCAATCAGCTTATATGTGTTGTTGGAGGCTGCGTGTGCAGACTCATGGTATGATTTCCATTATCAAACAATGTAGTATATCAAATACTACCTTGTTGAGTCCCATGCCACCCTACATGCTAATCTTTTGTGATCTTTACTTGTCCATAACATTGTGTGGAGTCGACTCATGATAACAATCATACAATTGCTCTGAAAATAATAATAAGCATCAGCCCCGCGGCAGAAACAAAGCGGGGTTCTATGGTTACATTGGTATGACTAAAGCATGAACTGTGAAGTAAAGAAGTATCCGATAGAGAATATCAACGGCCGTGGAGTAATACGATCTACCAGACTATCTGCCTCTCAGTCAGGATTGAGCCGAAAGATTTCACCATCGAAATTTGCTGCGTAAAATACATTGATGATCATCATTTAGCTGGCTCAACTCCACTTCCCAGCATCCGATGGATAGTGGTGATGATGATCAGCAGGAGCGAGGACCGTCATAGGAGTTATATTTAGATCAGTCTAAAAAGTCGCCGGAGTTTTTTTTACAACACATATCAGACAGGACGAAGCAATCGCAATCTGTCGGGCTTGTTCCTCATCTGTCCTTCTACCTTTCCGTTGTACATCTTCCTATTTTTTCTACGGTAATAATGCGAAATGGGGTGCAAGAATGGAATACCCTGGTACTGTTGTTGGAGTCAGCCAAGGTAAATTACTAGCAGCAACCCCCCATGGTCCCAGTTATACAGCTGTGCTCCATATTAAGGCACCTACTGCTGTACTATGTTAGTCTAAGGCATTACTAGTTGATACTGTGGGTCAACAGAATCAGCTTGCCCCTCCTTGCCCTTGGGTGTCTGTGTTTTGTACTCCCTACGTCGTATTCCATTATTACCTATTGTTTACTGGTCTGGTACAAATACGCTCTGTCATTTCATAAATTTTCAAAAAATAAATAGGGCTGTCCTAGTTCGAACTAATTGTTGCCCAGTAGGCTAAGAAATTGTTCTCGCAGCTGGGCTGATGTTAGCGGGGCAACTGAAACAATAATCCGCAGCTTCAGCTCTGATCTCAGCTGTCATCATCGTCTTCTTACATGCAAACTAGTCAGGCAGTTTCTTGTTTTCCTGTTTGCATCTGAGGACGCCTTCCGTCTGATTGTTTTCTTTCCATATAATAAGGACTAGCCGAAAATTTGAAACCTGGGAGCACGATAGAGATACCCCGCGCTTTCGCCATATTCTCTGGTGCCTTGACGCCGTTTGTCTGTCACCGAGGTACAGAGATATATACACGTTGTTTGGGCCATGGCTCGCAGAATGAGTCTGGGCTTCAACGCCCTCATTGTGGTGGCATTACTACTGGTTTTGCTACCCTCGCAGGTCCATGCCTTTGGTGCTGGCAGTATGTCCACTTTCCCTCGTCTGCTTGATCACATACTGTTGTTCGTTGCTAAAATCAATTAGACATCGCTTCTATCTCAGCTGTTGAAGGCAAGAATTGGCGACATGGCGACATCGAAGATATGCTCAAGACTATTGCCTTTATCAAAGGCCACAAGTGGACGTCTACTATGGTCAAGCGCGTTTATTTTGGAAACTGGCTGCGCGATTAGTGAGTATTTCTTTTCTTTGGGTTGTGAATGCAAAGGCAGTTACTAACTTGCTTCTTAAGCTCTCAGGCAATGGACGTCGGTACCTTGAAGAGCCTTCCCGCCGATACCATCCGCATCCTGGTTTGGATCCTTTCTTTCTTGAGTTTCGGTTATGCGACGGCTGAGTTTGAGGTCACCTCCGAGAGACTCGGAGTATATCGCCCGGAGGAGCATATTGAGTATGTCAATCCCAAGTTGTGCTCGATGCGTCTACGTCTTTGTACTGATGCTTCTGTCCGACTTTTGTAGCAACCCAAAAGACTATGCCGATAATCAGGATGCACGTCAGTACGACGCTCGACTCCGTGGCCCCATCCGCCAGGTTGAACTTGACATCGACCCGCAGACTGGTATGAAGAACTACATCGCGAACGAACGAGGAGACTGGGCTACGAGTACTGCCTACATCAAGTATAGTCTGGCGAGGAGCATCCACTACGGAAGGTTGTATACCAGCGGTGGACACCACAAGGGGAAGGAGGAAGACCTTTGCGAGGCTCTGCGATGCCTGGGTCAAGGTCTACATACTCTGGAAGACTTTGCAGCGCACACAAACTACTGTGAGCTTGCGCTCCGTGAAATGGGCTTTCGAAATGTGTTTCCGCACACCGGCGCAGCCACAGAAATGAATATCCGTGGTCACCATGTGTTTCCGCTCGTGACAGGGACCTTTGGTATGGTGGACTTCTTCCATTCCGTGCTTGGGGAGGCTACAGATCACTTCACCCAGTCAGAGGTCAATGAGATGGATATCGCGCTGGGGGATGCTCAGGCGAATTCCTCGGCTGGATCTCTCTCTGCTTTCACCGGATTGTTGGGCAAAATCCCAGGGACAAAGGACCTCGTCGCCCAGGCTGAGGAGCTCAAACGTCGCTCTGAAGCTCAGCAGTATTCCAACCAGCACAGTGGCCAGAGGACGGGATATGCCCACGAGACATCGCGAGGATTAGATGATTATGGCTCGGCCATCGGTCGCGACCTGGGAGAATCGCTCAGTAGAGCTTCGGGCCCCAGCCAGCCCTCCACCTCCGGAGGCCCTGCTGGACCTGGTTTGCCAGGAATGCCAGACTTTGATCCCAAGAAGACCGTGGCCCAGATCTACCCCATTCTTCAGTTCAGAGATAATGTGGTGCGGAAGCTTTCGTCGATAATTGAGAAGATTCCGGGTCTAGAGACGCTGGTGGACAAGGTCATTGAGACACTGACTGTATTCGTTATGTCACTTCTTGCTCCGTTCATCCGTCCCATCATCAACTCCGCTTCCAATTCGTTACAGGCTGGTTCCTCGGGCGTCATTGATGCCTCTGGCAAGCACCAATTTGAACCATGGACGGATCCTCACTGCACCGACCCCACCCACTCGATGCTTTCCAAGGATCACTTCTCCAACATCCTCAACGAACCCGCTGGTCGAGTCGCCTCAGCTATCCTCAAGTATGTCGCTCCTCGGGTGTTGTACGCCTGGGAGCATCCCGAGGTCCCGGAACAACAGGTCCTGGACGACTGCCTTCGTGTGTTCCACCATCCTGCCCTGCGCGACATGCATAATGAGGCACACCGGACCATGTTTGAGGCCGTCCAGAATTGGGCTCACTCCAGGCCGGACCGAGGTGCAAGCCTCAATGATATTCTGAGCTCTGAGGGTGTCAGGACGGGCAAGAACAACGGCGGCGAGGTCGGACACTCGCATGCCAGCAGCGGCTTTGCTGCATTGGGAGGTAACAAGCCTAGCCATGCCGCTCACCAGCAGCATCCTACCCACCAGCAGCCACATCCCCAGCAACAGCAGTCCTCCTCCCTCCCCTGGGACAAGCTCTCAAAGCTCCCCATTCCAGGCATATCCAATCTGAGCAAGTTAGAGAGTGCCTTCTCTAGTTTCTTGCCGGGCGGCTCATCAAGGGAGGAACGTGTTGAGCATGCAGCTCCCCAGCATCAGGCTCCATTCCAGCACCAACAGCCTGATCGTCCATATCAACCACATGGCCAGCAGCCTTACGAATCACACTCCCAGTCACATCATCCCCAGTACTATCAACCGCCTCCACAGCAGCATCCCGGTGGTGGGTACGGTGAGCCCCATGATGGCTACCAGAGTAACCCTTATGGGGATCAATATGGTCACCCACCTCCGGGTCCTGGCTACAGGGCCCCGGAGCATCAGCACCAACACCATGAGCACCACGAGCATCATCACCAGTCACATGGGGCCAGGGACATCATGGTTATCCCGGGTCAGGCTATGACAATAGATACAGTTCTGGATATTGATGCCAATAAGTTGCGATTGTGAGGAGGGTGGATCGATATATAGATCGATCGCTCATGGCGGGAAATATATTTTGATCTCTTTACGAAGATGACATGTGTACTAGCCTTTCTACCTCCCAGTAAAATTGGAAACATATTAATGAACATCATCAAAAGACGTATTTATTCAGATTCAAACCCTCAACCGGCGATATCCTACATGTGTCGGAATTACAGTATGATCACTATTGTTCAACGGAAAATTCTCGACGGGAATTACCCTCCGTACATAAGGTATATAAGAGGACTGCCTTTCAACAAGCGCCGCCGGGCTAGCTCAATCGGTAGAGCGTGAGACTCTTAATCTCAAGGTTGCGGGTTCGACCCCCGCGTTCGGCTCTTTTTTTGCTTCGTATTTTGCCCCTTGGTATTTTTTTTATCGGTAAACCCTCTTTCCAGCTCCCGCTCTGTCTATAAGCTAGACCATCGCCGTGTTAGAACAAATTACGTATACGGTCCGTGTTATGTTTCTATGAGTCCATATGTCAGAGGTAGATCCAAAACTCCGAACTATTAACAGCTACCATACACGAGCATGCCATGACACGGAGAGGTCCAAGTGCTATTAAGCTCTCACAGACCAGCTGAAGACAAATGGAAAACAAACGACCGCCGATGACGACCAGTCAACTCCGAAAAGAATACTATATACAAGCATCCAGTGCAAGGTGAATGTCAGACGTTGCACAATAACCAAACCGCTATCCAATGTCATGGCTCGTCATAAGAGTATTATATTATATCATTATCATAATTTGCATGTTCAATGGAACAAGCAAGGACAGGAGGTCATAGTTTGGTACCCTCCCGTCCGCTATCGCTCGGTCTCCGGGGTCTGAGCAACCCTGAGGATGGACCAGGCGTAGACGATCCTAGCTGGCCAGCCCTGCTCTCATCATTGCTACTGCTGCCATTATTTCCGCGCATACCAACAGCTCGTTGGCCCTGGTGTAGGCGAGGATTCATCAGCCACTGGATCTGCATGCGAATACTGCTGACAGCAGCATTTGTGTGAGCCATGTCTTCCTTGATACGGAGACACTCATTCATGATGGCCATGCTGGCGCGAGCGTCTAAATCGGTGATTGCATGTGAAAGCTGACCAACTTCTTCTCGAAGAGACTCGTGTAGGGCGAGCAGATATGTCGTAGTGGCGGCATTAGAAGATATTGCACTAGAGTGATCAGCGTGTGAGGGATTACTCGATAGGTGCGGAGGGCTTGATGACCCTGACTGCCCCGAAGAGCTTAATCGTGTTTCTGTGTTCTGTCCAGGAAGGGCATGCGAAGCATCTAGTAGAGTAGAGCGAATGTTGGCTATCCCGTCCTCAAAGATCTCATTTCGCTGCTGAAGATGGCGGATGGTCAATTCCAGAGAGTCAAGCCGGGCATTCTGAGCTTCGAAATAAGGGCCCATAGCGATGAGTGGACAAGTTTGTTCATGTGTCGACAAGTCGGCCCGCTTGACTTTAACGGGGCATCCATATTTGGATGCGGCACATGCATGTATTGCCTCCGGGCAGGTTTCAATATGATCCCTCAACACTTTTCGAAAGACTGTTGTTTGGCAGTCGGGACAGGTTGTTCTCAAGCTGGGGCATAATTCCTTTACATGCTCCTGGATAAACCGGAAAAGAAACACGGTTAACTACAATATAAGACGATCGTCGGGGCATAGCACGAACCTCGTAATCCTGCTCCATCACCTCCTCCTCACAACGAGAGCACTGGTGCAGCTCATGCATGCATTTTTTATCGGGACTGAGATCCTTCTTCCTGGTCTTCTTGTCGCAAAGTGTCCCCGGGCAATCCATGAGCCTATACCCACAATATTTATCGACATGAGCCTGAACATGACCTCTCGGTACAATTTCCTTGCAACCCTCGCTCGAAAATGGGCACTTTACTCGTACGTCGTCGCACATATTTATCAACAGTCGAGGTACATTGAGGTAGACATCTAGGGTCGGCGTGCGGCAGCTCGGACATGTGAAATCATCTCGACCAGCGGCAAACGTGGTAATAGCGGAATTCAGGCATTTTTGACAGAAAACATGGTCGCACTGCAAGCGGACCGGTCGAATAAATGGACAGTGGCATATCGCACACATAAGATGGTCGTCATAATTCGAGACATACTCCAGAGCACGCAGGTCAACGATCTCCTCGCGGTCGCAGCTCGACTCCATCATCAGAAGCTCCTCGAGGTTCATAGTCGGCAAAAGCGTCCGGTATCTGTCACTTTCAGTCAAACGGCTCTGTTTAATAGGCGCATGCAAGACACCGCAGCGTTCAGGTATGGGGGTTATCGAGAAATGATCGTCTCTCGAGTTGCCGTGGAGGTCTGAAGATGAAACGATAACTATGACAGCAACCCATCAGGGTCACACGGTGGCTGCAGTTAGATTGAAGATCTCTGTGATACGTACAAATGCTGGATGAACTTGAGGCTTGCAGACGAGGCGAAAAAGGAATGTTGAGAAAAGGACTGAAACAGCGTCGGATGGATGGAAAGAGGGTGAGGACCAGCGATTGTCCATTATTATTGCGGGGGTAGATGATGCGGAAACGGCAGATCAATCCGTCGCCGGCCGAGAAGGCCTCATCCAGTCCATCATCCATCATTATCAACCACTACCTATCCTCGTCAACAAACGTACCCAGATCGCGACGTTTCCCCCTTTCACTCCCACCGTCTGTATCCACCGTCAAATCGGCTTCTCACCGACAGAGGCCCCTACGTGACCTGTCGCTGACGCCTGCGCCGCGTTCCTCCTTTCGCATTCCATTCCCCGGTACTCAGCCTCAGACCGTCTCCGCATTATTGCCTCATCAGCGCTGGGGTGTCCCGGTCTCATCCTCCAGGCCTCCCACGGTCGTTATACCTGTCACATACCTCGCCCGAATCGGGACCGCAACCGCCGTTTCAAGATGCCGAACCCATCTCAGCTATTCCTCCTTGCTGATCACATCAAATTGTCGCTGTTGGAGCGACAACGAGCGATCTCGCTGAATCTGGAGCCCAATAGTCAGGATGGAGAAATCTCCCGCTCTTTAGAGTCTCTACGGGAAGGCATTGAATCGGTAGAATCGGAAGTATCGCGTCTGGAGGAAGCGAAGGATGATGCCGCCACTGATCTCAAAGACCAGCTCCATCATCTGCAATCACAATATCGAGACCTTTCATCCCAGTTTCACGAACAAGACGATTCGGTCTTGGACTCGGGTTTCAGTAATGTCAAGAAGTCGTCTCCCGACCTGAAACAGCCTATTCCACAGCATCCGCCTTCCAAGTCTGTCCGATTCATGGATTCCGCAGCTGAAGAGGCTGATGAAAATCGTCGCAACCTCTTTCAGCCATACCGCGACTCTCCTTCTCCTCCAAGTCCGGACCACTCCGACATGTCCAACCAACAGATTTTCGACCATCACGCTGAGACCCTCCGCGAGCAGGATGAGCAGTTGGATCGGCTTGGGGAGTCGATCGGGCGACAGCACCAGCTCAGCATTCAGATTGGTGATGAGCTGGAAGGACACGTCGCACTTCTTGATGGCATGGATGGCGATGTCGACCGGCACCAGCGACGATTGGATGGCGCGAGAAAACGGCTGGATAAGATCCGAAAGAGGGCGGGCGAGAACTGGAGTATGATGACCATCATTGGTCTGATTATCATCCTAGTCATTCTGATTGTGATCTTGAAATAAGCGGCTGGCATATATATCCGGATCGTCTTATGGCTCATCTCCCACTACACGAATACTTGCTGTTCTAATATATGACCTGGTGTTTAAGGCGAACATGGCGTCTTGTGTGCTTCTCTGTGGACGTTTGGAACTCCCCCATACATGGTTTCCAAGCCTCCCTGGTGCGTTAGATGGGGTTGTCTTACCTCGAGACAATTTATTACGCTCCTTGACTGATGCTTTATCGATATCCCTTTGTCGTTGATATAAACTGTTGATCTGATAACGTTCATCGTTGCATTCATGGCATATTTTCTTAAAATACACGATAACATGCAAATTCCCATGAACTACTGAATCCCCCAAAACCCGAATGGAGAGTCGCCTTCCACAGCCAAATCACTAAATAAGAGGAATCTATTGAGACTTGTTCACAGGGCCACTCCTGTTCGGCAGATCCTTAGTGCGACTTTGGAGTGATTCGAAGTCCTTATCGTCGCTGTCAAGCTCGCCGCGGTCCGCCTTGACCTGATCTCAATTATCAGTCAATGTTCAACTACCAACGAAATCAATTGGCCCTTACCGATGCCTCACTGTTGCTAGCAAGCTCGCCCTTCCACTTGGCCTTGCCCTCCTTGGTACTCTTCAACTGATCTTGCTTCTCAGCCTCGTAGTAGGAGTCCAGATCATCGCGGTCTGCGCTCTCATATTAGTCATTTGCAAATTGAGGAGCAGATAGAAGGATGAAACTGACTCCGGTCCGACTCCTTCAAGCCCAGGCGAGCGGGGGAGTTGTGGAAGGCCGAGACGGCCCTGTAGCCTGGTCTGATGGCCACGCGGGGGCTGATCGATGCACGTACGGAGGTGAGGAACGACATGATGATGAGGTGTATGACTCTGCTTGGGAGGCTTGTTAGCGTACGCCTTTGCTGCTATATGAGCGATATAGTCTAGTTGTGTGGTGCGAGTAATATCCCAAAGCCGCTGTTCGCCATTGAACGATGGGAGGTAAGAGTATGGAATATTGCTTCAGTATCAATGGCTCTAACCCACCTTCAAGGTGAATTCGTCAAAAGACAAATATTTACTCTGCTTGCGTCGGATATATACTAGTAACAAAAGATGAATGTCACTAAATCAGAAGTGAAGCACACATCAGTAGCGGGAAACGAGACGACTTTAAAAGTAAAAGCGAGAACGCATACGCAACGCCAAAAGAATGCCATCCACCTCGGCCAAGCTTGACTGGATCCCTCGGGACGATGGTAATCACGATAATTATCACTGCAGCAGAATATGTGCTCCCCTGGGTCTTCTCCATAGGGGCAAACGAAAATGCCCACATCTTGCGTGTGGGTGTCAGTGATGACGTCACTGCTACTCAATCGACCAGCCATTTGGGATGGACTGGAGAATGGACGAAGGGAAGTTCATCATTAGCGATAATCTGTCACTCTATCTATAGCAGTCAGTTTGTTCTGGTATGGTAAGTAGATGCTCTTGTAGTCTAGTTATGTCTCTGGCTGAGAGCCATCTTTAGATATGTTCTTTTGCTGTTTAAACTGATAACGGCGATATATCCTGTCGGCCCAGCATCCTCAAACACCCCATCTATCCTGCTCTTTAATAATGTGCAGCGTCTGGCAAGTAACAGTATAGGCAATGACATCATGTATATGGGCCTGGAACTGGATTTCATGTCATGCTCCATGCATCAAGGCCCATATATTGTAGAATAGCCTCTGCAATCCCCATTCCTAGTACAATCTACACACTCTTAACTCCTAGACTTGCCGAAGCTTCGAAATGCAATCGCTCATGCCTTCTCCTAGCTGGTCATCATCGACATCGTTTCTCGCGGCTAATTAATTCCAATGTCGAGGTTTCGACAATTGTTGGACCTAGTTGCCCGTAGCACACACAAATCGGGCATCACATTCTCCTGCGTTGCTAGCCCTTCATACTCCCAATACCAATTACTGATCCGTACGCGGTGGTGACCTGATGCATGCAATCGACCGGCTCCGTGCCAATAACCTTGACCCGGGTTTGATGAAATAGTGCTTTCACCACTGTGCATGGGACGGGCCTTGAATTCGGCAGCAAAGACACGACCAAGGAGAGAAGGTGAGAATGGCAGCTTGAAGAGAGCCTTTTGAAAAGAACCATACATTTGATGATGGTAAGTACTCTTCGGGAGAAGTTATGACAGAAGTAACATCCAACGAACCAACATGGAAGCATAGGTAGAGAAGTTTAAGAAGTGCAGCATCGACCAAGACACAGCAAGGGAGCGAGACCTTTTTTTTCTTGAAAGGTAAGTGCGGCAGGTCAATGGCTTCCAGCCAGAGACCATCTAGGCCAGTTGGTCAATTGCAGCGGAGCAATGAGCACCGCCAGACTCCGACTCTCAATCAATTTACAGGAAGGAGAAGAGAAAATCCAAAGAAGCCAAAAAGAGAAAAATAAGAAACATTTGCAAGGACATATGGGAACAACGCCCGACGAGAGTATGGATGTCACCGACAGAAATCCCAATCAGAACCAAAGATATCAACCCAACAATGCAGACGTATATCGTTTCCGCCTTTCTAATCCCTTTGAAGCATGAGTATTCCGTCCCGCCCAAAAATCAATAACCCCAATAATAAGCAATATCCGAGGATGAATCGGCAAACTGAACGTATCTGACACAGTCGCCATAGCACACCGAACAGAAGCAACTCCGGACCATAGACATGGAAGCGCCAAGCCGCGCTTCTATCATCATCGCGGCCAAACCCCTAGGCCAAAAAGAATAGCTTTCCCTAACCGGAAGATAAAACAAGGTATCGTGTGTGAGTGTGAAAAGAATGCAAAACTAAAGTCGAATCGCAGGCGCCGTCGCTCGCAATAGGATGAAGCATAGCAGAGAATCTAATAGAAGTGCTGTAGGTCGTCATCGGAGAAAAGTGTATATACAGAAGACACTAGTTTATCCTCTTTAGGTTTCTTGCGCTCGTAAAAGAAACTTCGGTTGAGTCGTGATAAGATGCGATGGCCGTATGGAAGTAAGTACCAGAAGAATTATAACCGGCGGTTAGGGAATCGCGATGATGCAGAAGCTGAGACAGCAGAAGAGAAAACATGTGCCATGACCGGAGGTCTCTGTCACTGACATGGCGACCGGGCAGATAGCAGTCATCACCACCGCCGCTGAGCATTCTGCATCGCACCAGGCGAAATCGACGTGGGCGGGCTGGTCAATGTCATCCCGGTGTTAGGATTGACGATGGGAATGACTTTGCGAGTGCGAACCGCCGACGGCTGTTGGAAGCCCATATTAAGATTACTGGTAACCCCTGAATGCACGAACGAATTGCTAGATGCGGGAGACAAGGAGATGGACGGCGTGACCTGTTGGACAGGCTGAATCTGGTGCTGAAGAGGAGACGAGTCGGGAGAACCGCTAGAGAGAGACGACCGATCCGAGGAAGCAGAGTGAATTGAGTGTAGCTGTGATTTCGAGTGTTAATAAAATGCCTCGAACTTTAGCTGGTTGGAGGGGTCCTAGGCGCTCGGCCAATGTCTCGAGGGAACGGGAGGTCCGAGAACCGGGCTGTCATAAACATACATCGTCCTCTGTAAGGAGACCCGGACAGAACTCCAGGTCGTCGTCCAGGTCGAAAGACCGTCCAGCTTCAAACCGTGCGCGGAAGGCAGTCACAGCAGGGGCTTCGGCAAGTTCTCTCATACTTTTCACACCGCGGAATTGACGTTGAGCATTCTGAGAGGCCATCTTTGGCCCTCTACGGGAGCGGCCATTATGATGGTTGTTCGATGATGGCATGTGGCTAGTAGCACCCTGATGGTGATGCTGATGGTGATGCTGCTGGTGATGGCCGTAGAAGAAGGTAGACATTTTGATGTAATCCGTGGTGGCGAATAGAGGGACGGAAGTATGTTGACGTTACTGACTCAGTTTTTCGAGTTGATTTCAGAAAACAAGCACAACTCGATACCTGAAGACAACAATAATGTTTTCAAAGGCGAAAGGAAAGGGTATAGACGGAAGAGGACAGTTGAAATGCAAGTATATAAGACAAAAGATACAAAGGGGATGTAGTAATGATAGTACTAAGGAAGAAGAGTGGGAGTGAGAGTGAGAGCGAAAGGTCGGGTCGAATTTGTGTTTTAGTTGGTTGTGGGATGGGGAATCATGAATCGATGGGCGGGACAAGAGGTAGAATAAGAAGAACCGGGAGCGAAGGAAAAGGGAAGTCGATGCTCGGAGCGGACGGAGGCAACAGGCCAGGAGGGGCTGCAGTTGTTTTGCTGGGGCTGAGTGAGTCCTCAATCCTTAGGAGCTGGTGGAGCCCTTGCAAAGGCAGTACCAGATCAGTACAATGTTTACCATACAGCCAACCTGGCATGTAATAATGAAGTCAGTCCTGACGAGGGATTGTATGGTAATATCTTCGTTCCACCTTCGGCGCTAACAAGGTCACGCAGCACTCTTAGGGCAACCAGAATCCAACCAGAATCCAACCAGAAGTCCGTCCGCGGTATCTGAGTGGCAAGGTGGGGACTAGGAAGCGAATGGTAATCACTTAGAGGGAGCTACAAGTGGAGACAAAACAGCCACTTTGCATAAAAGCCAATAGTATTGCTTTAATTTTGCTAAAAGCGGTTAGTAAGTCGCCCTAAGTGACGTCTTTTTAGTTACAGGCTAAACTTATTATGGTAAATTTATTATCCTCCCGGTCTCTGCACTGAAATCTGGGTTTTCTTGATTGGGCTTAGCTGGCAATCCTGGGGTCGATGTTACGGAGTGCAGCTGTGGACGGCAAAGACCAGGAGAATTAAGGTAATATGTTATTCTGCCATTTATTTTCCTGCTTCCAGGTTGGTATGTGTATGACTGTAGGTATGAGCATCAGTAAAGTTTCTGCTAATAACTGTTATTCGTTAAATCCAGAGCCTGAAATGGTGCAGCAGCATCAAAAGGTACTTTGGCACTCTCCTCATGTAGACTTCGCGGCAGTCAGTACCTGCGCATGGGCTGCGCTGATGGATGTACAGGTACCATTCTGTAGCTTTCATGGAAGTTTTAGATCCTAAAAGCTATTATTGACGTCTGTTATTGTCCTTTGACTATTCTGGACGATTAAAGAAAGGAGAGAGAATGTAAGGTAAGGACCGTAAGGTACTGGTATGAGGTCCATTTCCGAAGACAGACAGGCATGCGTTGCAACTTGCAACCCAGAAAGCAGCAGCCAGCAAACGCCATTAACCCTCGATATCTGCGGGTAATGATTGCACTCCACCAATCCTTTGTACCTGGATTCGTGGCCGTCATGCTCGGCAAGGTACCATGACTTAATTTCACTCGAACCGTGCCATCTAGTCCTGGGGTAGCCTTAGCCTTGGATATCTGGTCAACAATAACAATGTCTGCGCATGCAGACAGACATTGTTCGCCGGAGATCCAGAAGGAACCCTTTTGGCACCAATTTGAGATATCCTATATGTCTTAGAGGAGGTCTTGAGCGGGTACCTTGCTGTCTAAGTAGATTCGACACAGCTCTTCCAGGCTCGAAGCAGGTACCACATTCCTTCCAGAATCGGATGGGATTAGCTGCCGTTGGAGTTGACCAACCATCGATAAGTGTTCATGATTCGTACAATCGACCCAAATTTCGAACATGCGTCTTGTTGGTAACCAATATCAGAATACGAAGAAGATCGTCGCAAAAGGTTGTACGGGGTTCTAAAATTAATCAATGCCCATCCTTGGATACTCCATAGAGAGAGATGTCTCAACTGATAAGAGCAGAGAGAATCGATTCTTCGAACAGAAATGTGTAGAATCATGCTGATTGTGGCAAACAGAAAAACATCTTTCCATGGCGGCTAATGAAGCACTTCACAGTGGTATATCTGCTCAAAATACAAACGGAGTAGGATCATGCATGCCATCGGACCATACAACCCCTCTCCTCTCCTTGCGCTAATGCACATGGACTCCTGGGGATCAGGATGCGTTTCTTCTTGTCTCTCCTGAGTGCATGGTTGGGCACCAGTCTCATTGGTTATTGGTGCAAACGCTCCCTCCTGCATAATGCATGAGCTGTTAACATTTCAAATTTATTAAGTCCATGTTCTCAGTGATGAACTCGGTCGCGGGTAACTAAGTGTAGGGACTCTCCAAGTACTCCAAGATCATCTCACCGCTTCTTCCATCATTTGATTTGGGAGTCTTACGATGGGAGTTTCAGCCTTCCTAAGGCTCTTTATTGAATGTGAGGGGTCCCAAGACAGGATGAAAGAGTTACCCCTCACACGGTTCAAACCTTGTTTGCTATCCTGCTTGTACTGCATATCGTTATGATCAATCCATGGCGATTGTTCACTCCATCCCTCTCAAATCCAGCTCTGACGTATTCGAGCCAATTTAAGGTGACACAGTGGGAGGTATCCACCTGTTTCATCAGAGCTCAATGCCATCCGTTTACTTTCCATGGCGGATGTCCATCAAGTCGGTTCTGTCGTTCTCAACATGCGGCCTGCACTTGGACACTGTTGTTCTTACACTAACAGAGCAGCTACCCTGATTCAAGATATCTGCGAACATAACTAGTATTTTCCGGATTCGCACGGCCTACGCTTCTACTGCTGCGTAGAAGGGGCCGCATAAATGTGTTCAACTCGAAGCAAATATTCTCAAGGACCATCCAAGGGTGATTCACACGTCTCACTGCCCTTCGGGGCGTTTTCAGCTCGGGAAGATGACAATCGCGATGGCAGTGACGGAACATGATATGTGACTGAAAGCGCAGCATCTTGTCAATGATCTTCTGAATGAATGAGTACTCCCTGTTGGCGGATCACTGGCTAGCGACCATTGAGATACATGGTCTGCTTCAGCTAGCAGTTGCACTCGATCAGCCAACTAGGCTAATCGCTTCGAATAGCCGGAAGAGCAGCCATTGGAACCAAATGAAGATACCAACTCCTTCAGAGAGTTGTGGGAGTAGAAGGAAACTCTTTAGTAGCAGTTAGCAGGGAGGGAGGGGAAAGGAGGCACTTTCCAGCTCTTCAAGATACTGTAAAGCTAGCAGGGTATGTTCTAGTGGTGATCGCCTACAAAGCAACAAGTCCATAAGGGCGCATATAACTTCTTCTTATCCGCCCTGTGAAGGCTAGGTGGCTTTAGTACGACGGAGCAGACGAAAAGCCCTGCTTTCCACACCCTGGGGCCCGCAAGTGCTAGAACATTGCTAAGCGAGCCACGAGATGATCTTAATTTGCATACCAAAAGCTATGGGCTAATCATGTCGAAATGAACGATATCTTTGAAATAGGGATAGTGAGCTTTAGAATCATTTTACATACTTGCGAGTGAGCAAGTACAGAACGAGTTTGTGGGTATATGTCCACGACCTGCTAAATGACCGAATAACAGAGTATGCCAAAACTGCACCTAGAACATGCAAATGCAGCAACTGAAGACCTTGAACGCCATTTCAATGCCCGTGAAACTAAGATTAAATGAAGACTTTATCGTCATTTGTCCAGATTTTTGGTTTTGACCATCCGCCCAAGTAGCTCCTTGCAAGTCTTCTCGCTGTACTGCTCCCAAACTTCATAAAGAGACACCAATTCCTGGGTGCACTCAATGACACCTTTGATGTCGACTTCACTCTCAGCAAGCCAGCTGATGAGTTTCTGTATTTTGGGAGGAGGCCCGGAACCAGTCCGGTCTCCTAATGCAGCCAGCACATTCATTCCACCATCCCTCATTGCGCCGGCGAGGACGGGCGCCGCAGACCCGTGGAAATTCCCCGAACTTGGCTTGAAGACGACTGCGACAATAATAGCCATGACTGCAATGACATGAGGGGCATATAGGAGAGGTAGGTCCGTCAGGTAGTGATCATTGATCACAGACCATGCAAGAGCAACCTCATCCGACGTGAGTGACAGTTCGGGCTGAAGCTCTGATAATGTTCGATATGGATGGTGCACAATGAGTTGCGAGTTCATCTCTGATATCAGGGAAAATTCGCATTCGCCTAGTTTTGAAACATCCGGAGTAATGAATTCTGATATCTGTTAGCGATGGTATGCAAACCGCAGGTCGGATGCTATACCTGGCCAGAGGCTCCGGGCTTCACCGACAACAAAACGGATATGTTGCGGACACTCTTCCATTTTGCAAGAGAGATAAAAAGCAGTCGTAAGAACGAGGTACGGGTTTGTATGCCTGATCTCATTCTTCGTATAGAATCGCTTGATATACACTTGAGCGGTTGCAAGAGCTTGCTGTCTGGTTGACATTCGCTTTCCAAGCTTTATAAGTTCTGCTTGTAATCAGCCCAATCCTATTCTTAAGACACATATATGACTCGCTTACGCTGACTGAAATAGATATTGAGTAGTCTCTGGTCCGGTAGGGGGAACTGGGAATGAGCAACTTTATCGCTTTCACGAAAGATTTCCCGAATTTCCGCTAATTTTTCTCTTGTAAACAGCCAATGTCGACGCTGCGTTGACGCCCAATAATTGGCCGCCATCTCCGAATCTGTGATCGAGCACCTGAATATTGCCTTATTTCTTCAGGTTGATAGATTCATCATGATGGCACTAGGGACAACTGATATGGGCATATCACTCGTAACCAGAGACCATATGGGTCGACTAGACACAGTGGAACAGCACAGACAAAGCTGTCTCGAAGGATCACTTGAGCTCAAGTATCCAAAGAACGATTCTAGGTATATCAGACAGCAAGAGATCTCGCATGCCGACGGCATGCAGTTCATCTAATATGCCGTTTCGAACATGTAATCGGGGGTGGAATCTTTCCTAAAGGGGACTAGTAGGGTTGGGCCCTCTGGTCCCGTGAACCGGGCCGGAACCTGCTTTTCTTCCGGCTGATGTCGTAAGGAAAGCAAATCATCGCGGCTGGATTTCTCATGGAGAGTTGTGTTGGGCTTGGTTTCATTAACAACTGCAATAATAATGCACAGCATATAGCGGTTTTTTCTACATATTGCAACATCCACGGTTTCGATGCACCAGTCATTGCGAAAATTTACGAACCACTGCCCTCACAGGGAAAGCTCCGATCTTAAATTTCTGTGACCTCTCTGAAAAGAATGACGGGTCCTCGGCTATAGTCGATAAACATCGAACATGGCAATCGGCGAGTCCAAAGATGAACGTGACCAAAGAGTCGCAAAACTCTGGGAAAGCCTGGACGTCCAAAAAAAAGGTCAACTCGATATCAATGGCTTAAAGAAGGGGTTCAAGAGGATTGACCATCGTGAGCATACTCCCTGACCGGATCCCGTGCGCCTTGAGCAGCTGACTGACCTGGGCTATCGCAATTTTGACAGCTCTGAAAAATGCGGATGACATGATACGAAATATCCTGCAGACGGTCGACACCAACGGCGATGGATACATAGACTTCTCTGGTAAGATCATACGGACTTTGTCAGGAGCTTTTCTCTCTCCTGTTGCAAACTGGTTTAATGCCAGTTTTTTTTACCCGCCTAATGATGATTAGAATTTCGAGCCTTTGTCGACCATACTGAACACGGGCTATGGCGACTGTTCGAGAGCATCGATCGCAACCAAAATGGAGTGATAGACAAGAACGAACTGAGGGCTGCCTTTTCTCGTTCTGGGATCACATTGTCTAGCGCTAAACTAGACGCCTTCTTTGAGGATGTTGACTCCAACAAGGATGGTGTCATTTCATATCCAGAGTGGAGGTACGTGCATCAAGAGTCAGATGAAGTTGCTAGTGATGGCTGACCGTTCAACTTCAGGGACTTCCTTCTATTTCTTCCCGCCCATTCGCCATCCGACCTGCACGCTGTTTTCTCATATTATACGGCCACGGGCAATCTAAACCCGGAAGGAGATGTCCACATCAATGATCTGCAGGGTTTAGGTACAGACCACTCGTTTCTTACGCGTTATCTTTTGGCCATCAAAGACATTTTGTACAATATCTTCCCTGTGCACGCTTTGACAGCCTTGGTTCCATCAGCTTACGCCGAAGCCGGCGGGACGTTATTGTTGGGCGCCGCATTAGAGCATGATTCTCTCCCTTTAGACGATGACTTCGAGTTGGAGTGGCTGCCCATTCCCAGGACTGTCGCCATGTGGATGTCCTTCCGATATTATGAACAGAAGTTGACCGAGAACACTCCTGAATTAGGTTATTTTCTTGCGGGCGGGATCGCAGGCGCCGTATCAAGAACAGCCACCGCGCCTTTAGATCGACTTAAAGTTTATCTTATCGCCCAGACTGGCGCGAAGAAAAGCGCTGCTCAGATAGCGAAGGATGGTGCTCCGTTGAAGGCAGCTGGCTGTGCTTCCAGGACACTCGTCGGTGCGGTAAAGGAGTTATGGCGTGCTGGGGGATACGGAGCTTGTTTGCCGGTATGTTAACTGCTTCTTGTGTCACGGAATCTACTGACAGCCAGAAGGAAACGGCTTGAATGTCGTTAAAGTTATGCCCGAATCAGCCATCAAATTTGGAGCCTATGAGGTATGACATGATTGTCCACCAAGGCGACTTTATGGCCAGCAATTAATGACGTGATGAATAGTCCGCAAAACGTGCCTTCGCTCGTTTTGAAGGACATAACGATCCTAAACGACTCCAGCCTACGTCGCAGTTCCTGTCCGGTGGATTTGGTGGGATGGTGGCCCAGTATGTGACGCTATCTCCCCACGAAACAGTGTTGTCTAACAGTGATGTAGATGCTTCGTCTACCCTCTTGATACGCTCAAATTGTAAGTCCTGGTGGTCCAGTAAGAAAATTCCACTTTAAAGCTAACTAACCCGTCTTAGCCGAATGCAATGTGACACCGTCGAGGGTGGCTTGAAAGGCAATCAACTCATCGCAGCTACTGCTCGGAAAGTGTGGAACAAAGCAGGCCTCGTGGGCTTTTTTCGTGGTTTGCCTCTAGGCCTCATTGGCATGTTTCCTTACGCCGCCATCGATCTGTCAACCTTCGAATATTTGAAACGCGTTCTCCTTGTACGGCAGGCCCGGATCAACCACTGCCATGAAGATGATGTTCCCCTCAACAACTTCACCACAGGAGCAATCGGTGCTCTGAGCGGCGGGTTCAGCGCTTCCGTTGTTTACCCACTGAATGTCCTTCGTACCAGACTACAGGCCCAAGGCACTGTACTCCACCCCACAACATACACCGGTATCGCTGATGTTGCGCGAAAAACACTCCAAACCGAAGGCCCCCGTGGCTTTTACAAAGGGCTTACGCCAAATCTTCTCAAAGTAGCACCCGCCGTGTCGATCAGCTACGTTGTGTATGAGAACTCCAAACGAATGCTTGGACTGAGATAACACCTCAGACCACCGGTCCGAACAGTCGCTCTTCGCTTCTCGCTATCCCTTCTAATTTCTTCACTTTTAGAATATTTTGTCAAGATACCCATAAAGCCAAGTCGCCATAAGTGGCAAACCCTTCCTCCCGGTTGGGAATCCCTCTGCCTGCCTTCTCCGTTTATCGGCTTTTGTCCCATCTAACCATTCGAACTCTCTCTTGTTTCTGAGCTTATATTTTGAGCATTGACATCTCGATGCGACTCATGCGACTCATGGTCCACCGCTGATGGTCATTTGGGGACGGTTTTGCATAGCGACCACCCTAGCATGGCAGGGCGTCGCATGGTAATGCATATGGTGGCGTTTGTCCATATTTGTTGCATTCTCTTTCTTCATTCTTGTAAAACCAAGGATACCTGCGGGTCCTACTGGAAAAATCTGGAACAATGTATCTACAGTTCACGCTCCACAGCGTCGGCTCTGACTCAGATAACAACAGAAATAGATTATCTGTCAAACAGACTTGAATTATTCTATCCAATTTGGAGTATGCTGTGGCACGTATTCCCATAAGATTGTCCATCAAATACAGTAATAGATCCTTCATTTACTGTCGTGCAGCAACGGCTCTCACTTCTTCGTCTTTAGGAAGAATATCTGGGACCGGCCCGACAGGAGTAATAGCGAACTGATTGATCTGCTTATGACTCTTTGTATAGTGTTTCTTAATGTGCTCAAAATCCGTCGTCTCCCGGAATGCGGGAACATCCCAGTAAAGGTGACGCACCCAGCGATGAATGGCTGGGTAGCCGGAGCGAATATCACGGATGTTGCACTTGAAATGCTGCACGTAGACAGGGTCAAAGCGGATGATGGTCGTGAAAAGTCGGATATCGACCTCGGTGATGGATGAGCCGAAGAAGTACGGGGAGTTGGCGTCTTTTGAGAGATGGGCTTCGATCCTGTCGAGGGAGGTGAAGAGGGTTGTCACAGCCTTCTCGTAGGCTTCTTGGGTCGTCGCGAAACCAGACTTGTAGACCCCGTTGTTGACGTCGTTGTAGATCCAGTCGTTGGTGGCGTCGATCTCGCTTCGGAGAGCGGGAGGATACAGGTCTACCTTCCTGTATTTTTCGGGAAGGAGATCATCGAATTCGTAGTAGAACATGCGAATGATCTCAGCGCTCTGTTCGAATGTTCAAATCAGTAAGGGTTTAGGCGACAGGGGATACAGTGGATATCAATGTACCTCATTGCTCACGATCCGTTGCGTCTTTTTATCGAATAGCACTGGGACGGTGAATCTGCCAGTATAACTGGGATCATTGGAGAAGTATATGGCACGCAGATGCGTGAAATCAGGATGCAACGGGTCTGGGGTGACGTTCTCTCCTGCAACCTCTTCGTCGGCTTTTGCAAAGCGCCAGCCTTTCCAGCAGAAGATATTAGCTTCGTTTCTTTAGTGGCTTCGAATCTGAAATCCATACCATTTTCGCCCAAATGCCAGTGGACGGATGTAAACGAGATGATATCCTCAAGACCCTTGAGCTTCCGGGTGATCAATGTCCGGTGTGCTGCGTTATGAGAAGGGTGTTAGCCGTCGTGTCTTGAGCTTGAGCAATCGGAGGGGTCTTCAAGAGAAGCGCACCCCAAGGACAGGCATATGAGACATAAAGATGATAGCGATCTTTCTCCGGAGGAAATTGAGCGCCAGGCTGCCTGGAGATGAAGTTGCGGAAAACCGATTGCTGCCGCTTGAATTCGCCGGACTTGTCTTTGGGGTCCACCCAATCGGTAATTTTACCTGTAATGCCTGTCTATTTGGCAAGGAGAGTATGTCAATCAAGAGCCCTTTGAGACATGTTGCATGAGATTCGAGCGCTTACGGCCATGTTGCGGATTGGAAAGATAGGTTGTCTGAGGATATTGGAGCTTCCGGGGAACTGCGAAATCCGGTAGTTGTTATGGACCTCAGGATATGCCGCGAGACCAGTTGGGTTCGGGGGAGCGCAGCAAGCATGAGATATTACCGAGAATTTCAGTGTGAACAAAGAGAGGAAATGACGCCTTTAATAGATAATGGGTTGCTATCTTGATGGACCACTGAATTGGGGTGCGGGGGACAATGACGTTTTTGCTTACTGAGTGCTTACGGATGGATCGCATAAAGTCTGACAAAGCTTCACTGATAGAACGGCTCCTAGAGGACCCTCATTTCTATCATTACTACTATGTGGAAGTCAGAATTATCACACAGTTTAATAATGACAACGAATTGCGTATTTTTGTTTCTAAATCGGTGACAGAGTGCTGTAAATCAGACTTCTAACATAGGTCGTGTCCACATATCGGTTTCTGCGCTGGAATTCCATCTACTTCTGAAGTTTCACCATAACGTAGGGAATTTCAACATCCTCCTCGTTTTGATCCTCTGCAGTCACCTCAAAAATGACGTTCTTCTGGTGATCCGGGATAGGCTTCTTGCTAATATGCTCCACGAGCTTGCTCATCCTAGGCAAATAATGTTAGTCGATTTTCGAGAGCGATGTGTAAAGGGTGATACATACTTCAAAGGAAGTCGGTCTTTGAGCTTAGATGGGGCGTAAAAACTGGCATACAGCAGACTGACGCCGGAGCTGACCATGCTAATCTCCAAGCCCAGGTCTGAGAAATGCTTGAGGAAGTCTTGTAGAGGAATGTCGTCGAGTTCGAAACGGTCCCAAAGTCGATCAATGGTCACCTCACCTTGCTTGCCCATATACGTGCCCTTTGGACTGGCTATGGGCTCACTGAAGCCAAAGAACGGGAGAGCGAGGTTCACGAAGCCGTTCTTGTATTGCTCAATATCATCCTTGCCATCGATGATCTTGTACAGCTCCAGAGCAACCAAGCCTGTCACCAATGCGGTAGTTGTGGCAATGGCCGGAATGATCTTACCGGCAATAAACTTGGTTTTGTGGCGGTCGGCCTGGGGAATATCATAGTTGTCCGCGCGGAGGTTGCTAGCGGCGGTGATGAAGTCGATGTGGTAGTTTGTATCGTCATCCTTCTCAAATTCAACGGGGTTCAAGCGGAATCCGGAGAGGGATTCGGGAGAAGGCAGCGACTCAACGAGGCGCTGAGTCTCTTGACTGTCATCAAGGGACGAAGACTGCTGAGCATTCGGGTCGGGCTCATTCTCATCGGCCTGAATCTTGACGCCGGAACTTGGTGTAAATTCAGGAATGATCATGTTGTCCACAACCTTTCTGTAGTACTCTTTGTCTACCCCGGGGTTCTTGATTCCATAGTTAAAGGCGTGGAGATTTGCGCCGGCAACGATGAAGGCTAGGTGAGTTGGGTTCGAGCTATCGAACTTGAGGGGCGTTGGGGCTCGCTTCGGCCCAGACCAGAAAGGTTGACCGGAAGAGGTCTTGGAGTCCCGGGGGAAGTTGTAGAGAAGTTGCTGAATTGCATTGTTGTACTGGGCCTCAAACTGCTGGCGAGCCCAGACAATGCAATCATCAAAGGAAGCTGGCTTGTTGGTTACCAAAAAGTCCCGGAGGTGCTCCAAAGTTTGCTTCTCATTTCCAGCCTGCTTGAGCGTCTGCTCGATGTAATTCGGCTGGGACAGATACAGGTTCACAGCCTCAGGGGGCCCGACAAAGAAGGTCTGGAAGAGATCCCGTGCCCAGGCAATTGTGTGTTCAATTCTGTTGGGGAAGCTCTTCAATGTGCACATCGGGAACGACTTTTCTGGGGGATCCTGAGAGCTCGAGTAGGATTCGGTGATATGGGGCAGAATGACCTGAGTGTTGCCCTTCGTACCAAGGGTACCGCTTTCAAGAAGAGGTTTGCGGAAGAAAACACAGCGACGATCAACATAAGTTCTTGCGTCAACGTTGTCCAGGGCGTTGGTCACGCCATCCAGAGCTTCCCAAAATTCTTCGTTGAAAATGTGTTCGGTGTCGGGTCCTACTCGGTCTCGAAGTGTCACGATTTTACCGTTAAGGTCGGGGTTCATCGCCTGTGCCGCAGCAGAAGCGCAGTCACTCTTGAGCTTCCCAACGTCTTTAGAGCGGAACAGGAATTGTCTGTTGAGGTTGCTCCTTTCGATCTGATCCATGTCGGTGACGAAGATCTTGCCCTTGGGACCAGTTCCAAGGCCCATCATGGCCCAGTTCTTCAAAGTCTCACACCCAATAGCTCCCGCACCAACAAGGAATTGAGTGAGATTGGCGATCTTGTCTTGAAATTCCTTGCCGAAGACAGCAATTTGCCCGTCGTAGCGAGTGCCAAGTGGCTTACAGCTCTCTTCGGAACGGGTGACAGATGTCGGCAGCGACTCCAAGGAGTCAAGGTAGAGCCATTGATGAATGGGATTGAACTTTCCGGAGACGGCTTTCAGAACTTCCTGAGCTGCAACACCTCCAAAGAAAGCGGCCAAAGGGTTGAGATCTCCGCGAGCCTGGTAGCTCAGCTCTCTAATAATTTTCTCGTCCAATTCCACCTTCTCTTCTTGGCTTGATGCAAGTTCATTCGCAATCTTAATCACTTCCTGGGCATCACTGTCATTGTGAGGCCGAGGGAATTGACCATCATGAGCTTCGGCGAATTTGTGGAGCGCTTGAACTCCGATGTGTAGCTGCTGTGGCCGGTCGAACTTGGCAAAGTCAGAGACCATGACCTCAGGCTTCTTGAGTTGCTCGCTGAATGGCTCGAAGTCGACGAACTTAGGCATCTTAACCTGCGTGAAGATACCACCGCCTTGATACGTGCCTAGGCCCGAGACGTCCCCAATTGAGAATGTATAAGGACCCTTGACAGTGATTTTCCGTGGGTCGCAATTGTTCAGCCCTTCCATACCCTTGACTTCAGTAAATGTCACGTAATCCCCGTCTTCGAGGCCATGGCGAGTCTCGTCCAATGCAGAAACCAAGCCATCTTCGTCAATGTCGGCAACGATACCGCTGACTGGCTCTTCGCCCGTAGCATCTCCAACGGTGAAGTTCTTCCCAAAATCATTGAAGATGTATCCAAACAGGCCAAATGTGTCGGTGATGGTGATATAGATGCCGTTCTTGTGGCAGAAGTCAGCGATAGCAAGCTGTTCCTTCAGAGGGGTCGTAGTGAGAACCACTGCCTGATACTGTTTCAGTTGCTCGAGATCATCCACCAAGTTGCTACCCTTATGAACAGTAACAGGCACGTACGAGTTCAGCTCTGCGACCCTCGGAGCTGTTACCTCGGCCCTTGGTTTCCCGACCTCTTGTGGTTGAAGGAAGAACTGTGAGGATAGGTCGGAGATAACGACTGGGGCAGGATCGTATAGCGTGAGGGATTTCACACCGGCAAGGGCAATGTTCTTGGCTGAAAGAGGGCGTCAGTCGTTGACCGTACTTCTCAAACCAGTTATTGTACTCACCAATCTCCACACCAAGACCCTTCAGACCAACAACAAGAACATTCGAAGAGCCCATACGCTTCATAGCCTCGTGGCCGAGGACGTACCTATAAAGCAATAAATATGAGAGAATTCCATTAAGGCGGAATGGGATCAATATACAGTTGACGACTGTACAGAGACTCATCGATGTCTCCCTGTTTGATCTTCTCCACCGTTTCCTGGGGGTTATCAAGCTGCATATTGGAGTCCTAGAGGCATAAATACTCAGTACTCTCTCCGTGCCGCAAAAGATCAGTGATCGTTGATGAGATAGCATACCGTCATGATCTTCTTCTCCGGCGGAGTTGCTGCTTGGTCGCAGGACGCTCTACGCTTTGCCAGCTTCGCAGCGTCACGAACAGGTAGTTCTGAAGGAATTGTGAAGGATTATAGGTGAAAGTCTTGCCTCCGAGCAAGACTTTCTAGCAGTATTAACTCGTGTCTACCACTCCTGGTGCAGACTAAAGAAATGCGGGAGCGCTTAGAACGTCGCTCAAGGTGGTAAGTACAGCTAGAAGGAACTTTGCAAAGCTTTCAGTCGAAGTCAAAAATGTGTCGTCTTGAAAATTTTGGAACAGTCAAGGTAGATGATGGATTTACAAAGCAGAGAATCGTGGATGACCAAGCAAAGAGGCAAGAAGGATGTCTCTCTCAGTTGGCGACGTAAGAGGGACAAGCTGTTGATGGCTGACTCAGCAGCTCCATGAGCTGTGATTGGCCATAGCCCCGCGAGGAGGACCTAGGATAAGGAAGCATTGCCAGTGGAACCTCTGACGAAGAGGAAAAGTACCTAGGAGTGATGGTGATGACAGCTGCGAGGGTGGATTCAGGCTGCCATGATGCGTATACTGGATGATTGACTCCTCCCAGCGGTGCCCACACTCATTTCTTGAGTGACATTGATCTGGCTCCTCCACAATCTCCGCGGTCACATCAGTCTCCGACGACGCGTCGTGAAACTCAGTATCAGGACACGCACTTGACCTTACTTTTGTTTTTATGTGTCGCTACGAGCTTCTGGGCCGAGGACTACTGTATTGGCAGCGTCGAAAGTCCAAAGCAGATACAAAGCCATCATCAAGGTCGGTCATACTTGTAGGCACAACACTCTCTAGGCCACTTCCTCTTAACCTTAAGATAGTGGACTCCAGGCAGAATGCTCCACGAGATCCTACTCTCACTCTCAGGCCAACCGTCCCCTCTCTTTGCTTTCAGTTCAGAAGAAGATGTCGTCTCTGAGAATACTTTTCCACTGTCCCCTCCGGAGAGAGCCCTCCTCACATCGCTCGCCCGTTTGAGTAGACTCCATGCCAGACTTCGAGAGCACACGTCTCTGATATCATCTTCACATCCTTCGACCATCTGCCGTGCTGTTTCCTCAGCTATAAACGCACATCATTTAGGAGGTTTTCAGAGGAAGATTTTGGAAGTCGAGAAGGCAGTTTTGGCCGAGGATAGTGCATATGTTGGCGGTTATGGCATCGTACCATTGTCAACCATCGTTGGGGAGTTTTCGCCTTGGACGAGGCGATTAGAATGGCTATGGGAGGTTGCCCGCTTCGTTCTTCCCGAAAACAGGACTAGTAGTGCACATGGTTGTACAGGCTCCGCCCTGATTGATTACCTTCGAACAGAATCCCAAACGGGCTATCTTGACCTCGAAGAAATCGCGCTGCACCTGATCACTGTGGCCGAATCTGCTTGGATGAGACAGCTATCGACGTGGCTACTGTATGGAAATCTCCCGGTCTTCGGGAAGGGTGACTTTTTCATTCAGGAGGATAATTCGAGCCAAATGGATGATTCGTCCATTGCAAACTTTGTGATGCAGACAAGCCTGCTCCCAAAGTTTGTTTCATTGCACACGGCGTCATCAATTTTATTTATCGGGAAGACTTTGAATCATATCACGGCGAAGCGGAAAGGTGCCACGACGGGATCGTCTGGTTCTGCGGCACCGCCAGTCACCCTTCAGGGAGAGCATATTGCGCACCTCGCCTCGTTGGGTTCCCCAATATCAGCCTCAAAACTATCTAGCGCGGTAGATTCTATTCGCTTGTCTTTGTCACAAAGTGTACTTTCGAAGCTACTGCCGTTACCCAAGATCCTCGAGATTCTTTCTGTGCTGCATGATTTTCTTCTACTGGGGCGCGGTGAATTCGCTACTGCACTTGTGTCTCATGCTGATGCCAGGCTGATTGAGCGACATCGAAGACCCGAACTCCTCGCTGGCCGGGTCAGAGCGCAAACCGAGCTTGAAGGACTTGTCGTCAAAGATGGGGATGTAATACATGCTCTGGCACACACATGGGCCGAGCTTTATTCTCTACAAAACGAGGAAGACCCTGTGGATGAGTCTCTTGATCTTGCCCGAGACCTTGTTCGCTTATCCATTACTGACAGTAAGAGTGGAAATACGGTTGCACCGCTCTCAGACGAAATTGGAAGTGATTTAGTAGCGGAAATCTCGGACGTCTCATTTGAGGACCTTCTTTTCCCAACGCGAACTTCCCTCTCGGTAGAAGTACGAGCACCCCTTGACCTATTTCTATCGACGTCCGATATCGCGGTTTACTCAAGGATTCATTCATATCTTTTGGGCATTCGACGCGCGCAAATACGAATTAATGATCTCTGGAAGCACTCTTTTCTCCGAAAAAGTTATCCTTCTCCATGGGGCCCACCACGAAGCAACACTCCCTTTGGACAGAGTAAGCTTAAGCTGGGAAGGCAGAGAGACAATATCCGACTTAGTCAGATGAGACCAGTATGGGCAACGAGTAGTGCTGCGCTCTTCGTCTTATCAGAAATTGGTAGCTTTTTCCAGGGTGAAGTTGTCAATGGCTGCTGGCAGCACTTTCGTGAGTGGATTCAAGGTGGACTGGCCACTGCCACGTCCTCGACGAGCTCTCGACCTGGAACATCTGCATCTCTGAAGAGCAGGTATAGCGACAGTCCAATTGAAGGCAGAGTGGATATCGATCGCTCAAGTCAGGCTGCGCCGCAACGACTCGACCCCGAAACTCTGACAGTCGCCCATCGTCGCTATCTATTTTCGCTTGTTCAGTCACTGTTCTTGACAGATAAACCATTCACCGAGGCCCTCCGATCCCTACTTGGCTTGATTGACCATTTCATCGCACTTATTATTCGCCTAGAAAGTGTCCAGAAGAATATGGACTTGGAAACAGACGAAGGTGTGGTAGACGCCTTGGCCGACTACCCCAGGGAGGAGACAGAGTTATTGGAAGCATTAAGGACTGCGCGGATGGAGGTCGAAGGGGGAATCAGGGACGTCGTCGCTCGCCTGCGAGACATTGATGACAGTCGATCGGGAGAGGGACGAAAGATGTTTGACCTTGTAAAGCATGCTCGCGCTACCCCGCTCGCTGACAGACAGAATGGCAGCGGCGTGAACGCTCAATTCTGCCAATACTTGCCGCGGAAAACAGCCGGGGTTGATCAACTTCTCATGAAGCTGGACTTTGGGCATGCCAATGGAAGCCTCGGACCTACAGCCCCTGTCGTAGGCGACTTCCTTGAGATGCAGTAGACCGCACGCTAGTCGTTTCTTTCTACTCTGAGCTGACCGCTGGTTTGCATCACTGGCGCTTGGCCGTTTGTGCCGAGTATACTGATCCTTATTCACCCTGTCATTCCTCGACTGTGTTCCTTTATAGAGATATAGGAGTACATTTTGCTATGAATGTATGAGATAGACAGCCAGTCATGTGTGCTTTACTTATGCCCAGAGAGCGCCTCGAATCCGTATATCTCTAATATGGATCTAGCTTGCTCGGCATGATGGACCTTCACGCCGGCTAGATCATGAACCAACATACCTGCTTACTGGCTATTGCAGATGGCGTGTTGGTGCAAATCTTCCAATTCCACAGAAGCTGTAGCTCTGACTGGGTCATCACTCATCACCAATCTGTCAGGTCTTATCGACTTTCAGCTGAATCATTTTGGCCCAACAGTGTTCATAAAATCATTACCTAGTATTCTTGAATAAGCACGATGTTCTCTTCTGACCTGCAACCCAAACCTGTGTTCATCTGTTTTCAAGAGACAAAGGGAGTACAGCAATGGAAGTTGCCCGAGAAGACTTGAGAGTCAAATGTAGTGATGCTGCTACTTACTAGTTGTCTTACTGCCATTGTTCTGAAACCCCTCTTTCCTGCTTTACGGTGTAGGGGCTTTTGCTAATCGCTAAGGGCTGTGGAGCTTAAGCATGGTGTGAATTTTTCAATCAATTCCTTCAAGCATGACGTTCATGGGGAACTCCCTGTTGTAAACTTCCAGAAGTGCTAGAAGCTATGTATGTCTACACTCTCCAAAGCCGAGGAGATGATTGGAGGGGATTGCATTCCGCAAAATGTCTGGTAGAGCTAAAGAGCTGCTACATAAAATACGTACTACCTTATCAAGTTATCAGTTCTTATCTTAGTTCGCCTCTTTCGCGTTAAGAACTTAAAAGGGTCCGAGATTCTTAGTACTGCTACTCCAGAAATGCTCCACTTTGGCGATTTCTGGGGCAGGAATAAGTCTGGAGTTCAATTCGCAATACTCTACGTCACCACCGAGCAATGAGTCGAATTATCGCAGAAAACAAGGCAACTTTTCGGGTCTGGTCTATAACCCATCTATGATCTCTATGAGAGCTCAGTATGAATTGCATAGAGTTTATGGTTATCCCCAATTGACAATTTCGCAGGACATGATCATCCTGCTGGAGCAGGACTAGATAGTCGATATGTATACAGAGGTATACAGGAATCAAATTGAGAGTAATATCTCCAGGCCCAGTATCTCGGACTCCCAGTTTTGGACATCCCGTGCAGCTAAAGTGGGCCATTCCAGGAAGAAACATGGACAGTCTCCATCCCTTCAATCTACTGATCACGTCTCTTACCGTCTTCGGCAATCAAGTAACTCCAAATGAACAGAAGTCACGATCCTGGCCCGAGTCCGTCGCCTCGAAAGCTATGGCAAGCTCTATCTCTTGGCGCCTGTCGTGCGTTTCCAGGGTCATCGTACCCTGGTTGTTCCCGGGCGATCCTGTGTCTGGGTCATATTGTATCATCGTGAAAGCAACTCTAGAATTTCTAGACTCTATCAGGGCCATCACGAGGCCATCTTGCTTTTTACCCCTTTGCCTTGCTTCGCCCGTATCAATGTAATATCATGCCTCTGTCTCAAGGATATAAACTTTGGACTCTTCTAGTATGGACCTCGAGTTATGTAGAATCTTGAAGTGTGCAACAACTGTATGCTGCTTGTCTTTTGACATTTTCCGTGGTCAATTGTTTCTTACCTCTGCACCTTGTTCTCGATTAATCCTTTTGAAAACTTTGATCAAGTCATGTCTTTCACTCTGACGCGGTCGCTGACCGCAGTGCGGTCATGCCTACCCTGCACTTCGCTTCATCCATTCCTACGATCAACATATTCCACCACGACAAACGAGCAACACATCCAGAGAAAGCTTCCCCTGGTGAGACCACATCGATTCAAAGAGTTTGATCTTGCAGACCGCGTCTACGCCGTCACCGGTGGCGGAAGAGGCCTGGGGCTGGCCATGGCCGAAGCGCTGATGGAAGCCGGAGCCAAAGGTAGA